TAATATTATTAATTATTAAAAATAAACAAAACATATTTGAAAAAATAATACAATATGAAATTACTTTTTTTATATCTGAAAAAAAATAAATCATGATTGATTAATTACTTTTCTGTGTCAAACAAACTTACATATAACTAATTTGCCTTAAAATATATTAACTCTAATTTAATTAGAACAAATTAATTCATCCTCTAAATCTTATATAGAATCAAAATTGTTAGAAAATTTTATTATGAATTATCATTTCGATGAGTGAGTTAAATTAAATCTTTCTTATTTTATATCTTATTAAATTCGATCATTTGGAGAAGAGATTATTAATTTACGTTGATCAAATTTTTACAAGAATGTATTATTTATTAAGTTAGAGTACGAATAAAGAGTTAATTTTAAATTATTATTACTTATATAAGAGATTCAATAAAATTCTTTTCTTCTTAAAAATTTTTAACGCAACATCATTTTAAGTATTTTATATTTAAATCATAATCATTCTTTATTCTAAAATAAAAAGAATAAGCTTTAAATAACCAATAGACTTGTAGTTATTTTTACGTGCATACTTATATATGCATTTCAAAAAGAGTTTTTATAATTAATATTTGCATCAGCATTCATAAGAATCATAAAAACATCTTCTTGGCCTTGTGTAGTATAAAGATAATATTGAATTACAGCTAAAAGATGATAAATCATAAAATCCTTATTTGGCACAATCAATAGGAATTTTTTTAAATATCAAGGCTGAAATTAATTTATTATAATAATGTATGATCAGATTAATCTTTAGTTGATATTGACGATTTAAGTTATGGGCTTAGAGGTAACTTAACTAAACTTAATTAATTATTTTTGAATGTAATGAAGAAATGTTGGTTAGTTAATTAATTTTTTAATATGTTCTAATCCTATAGTTCTTGGTGATACAGTTTCAGCAGTTTTGGTTATACTTTAGATTGAAATAGGAATTTTCCGTTCACCTGCTTAACTTTTTTATCTTTTTGAATCTGATACTTTCCTAATTAAAAAATGGTAATATTTTGTGTTACAAATTAGAATTATCAGTTTATCTACTATGATTTTACTTACAAGATTGGTTTGGGACTCATAATTTTAGAAGTGTTGGACTATGATTTAGGATAACTTAATTTACGATTAGAAAGAATCTTAATTTTGGCTTTATTTTATCCAAAGATTCTTATAGCATTAATTTGTTATTGTTGTTAATATTCATTTTGGATTTCTGTTTTATTAATAATATTAAAAATTCAAATTTTTAACATAAACAAAAGATGAAAGTAATTCAAAATCCAACACAGTATTTCTTTGAATAATCTAACAATCCATCTGATGAGTACTTAGACAAGATTAATTTATTCATTGGAAAATTAATTAATTAAAAATAATGCCTTTTATGCAAATAAGATTACAACATAAAAGATAGATTACCTAGAATACTAATCCATTGTGGACATACTATTTGTACATAATGTTTAGGCAATTTTTATAGGTTAATTTTATTAATTTAATAAGTTCTAGAAATAGAAGAGTTAGATGTCCACTTTGTTTGAAATTAGTTAAACATTTAGATTCTATTGATAGATTGCCTGTATATATATTATAATTACTATAGATCAATCATACAATTTTTACTAAAATGGCTGATGAGATTAATAAAAAAAGCAGGTTCCATGGAGGTACTGATGTAATAGATCCATAATAATATTTATTCACTTAATTTCAATAATCAGCTGTCTAAGCTTAAAAAATTAGATAACATTAATAGAATCAATATCCTCAAATAGATCCTGATTCAGGACTTGAGTTTTGTGAATTCCATAATGATAGAGTAAAACACTTCTTTTGTATGAAACATAAAATCACTTGTTGTAGAGTTTGTTCTGATATGATTCATTAAAAAAAGGTATTTACACAAATTTATTTTCAAAGGATTGCATTGTTGTTGATCTTTATGAAATTGAAGATATTCCTGCATTTTTAAATGAAGCCTACAAATTAAATCAAGAAAATAATTGTTAAAATCAAAATATTGAATTCCTACCTGGTATTATTTTTTATTTAAATAGATGAGGATAACAATTTTAATGATGAAGATTTAGAAGGAGAATTTGCTTAAAATGAAAGTCTAAAAAGCTTATGACTATAATTAATTATATCTATATATATCATGGATACTAATATTAAGGACCTAAGTGTGTTTCTTAATTCGTTTAGTTATTTTATAGTATATTTTAAACTTATTTGAAATTACCTAAATACTCTGGATTAATCTCCGTCTTTTTCTATATTTGTAATTCTATCTGCCCAACTAATTGATTCTGAAAGTGGACATCCTTTTTACCATAATATCCATTTAATTCATGACTACTAAGAGTTGTTTCAGCAATTAATTCTGGATTAGATCTAGAATTAAACTATTAGTTTAATATCTATTTATACATCCATTATTAATAATTTTATATTCTCTCCATCTTAAACTTCAATAAGTTCTGTGCTATTCCATATAGGCTACTTTTCCCCTCCTTTATTAATTGATGACTTATACTCTTTGTTTTTTGTAATTAATTTTACAAAAGGATTCTAAAAAAATATAAATTTAAAAGTACCATTCGACCAATAATCTTTGTTGATCTAAATAAATTAGCTCTAATTAAAATAATTTTTCTTTGATTATTATTCATTTTGATAACCTAATATTTATTTTAATTATATTTATAGTTTTTCATTTTTACAGTTTCAAACTCATCCCAGTTTTTGCAGTATTTTTGTTTAACTATATCTATATATTCATTATTTTAGTTGAATGACAATTACACTTAATATACTTTAATTACTGATGGCCATTAGAATTATATTTAATTTATATTAATTTAATCTATTATCATAATTATGAATGATTATAAACTTATTACAGTAGATTAATAATTAAAATGGATTAAATAATCTAGTTATTATAGAAAATCAAATTATTGAGGTTAAGATAGATGCCTAATGTTGATCATCTACAATTACATGAATTTATGTATTGTATTATAATGTCTAATTCTCTAGAAGGTTATATTTAAATAAGGGAATTAGAAAAGAATTCTAATTAATCATTTTAATCATAGTGAACAATTTAATTGTTTTAAGTTAAAAACAATAAAATCAAGGAAGTTTTCATGAGTTTTTCTAAAAGTCACATGAGCTGTATTTTTTTAGATATTTTCCCATTTTGATAATAATAATAATAATAATAATATAAAAATTTGCATAAATTATTGATTAAAATAATGAATGTAAATATAAAAGTATGACAAGAATAAATCTAAAAGTGCTGCTGTATATTTTTTATTGTTAACATGATTAATAATTTTCATTTAATAGTTGTTGTTGGACCTCCATCTCCTAAAGCTTTAACCTTTTCCATTAAAGAATCATCAACAACAGTACCATCTACATTTTTTAAGGTATTTATCCTTTTTAGTACAAGTAATTTAGGATCATCTTTTTAATTTTCGTATATAGGATTTCCTTTTTATAAAAAATAAAGTAATACCTACAAAAAGAACATTAGCTATTTCTGGGAGATCTTTTAATTTATCAACTTCATCCCAGACTTTAATTCTGTTATTACCAATATAAAGTGTATGCAATTTTACACAAGGCTATAGACCATCAAGTCTTTCTATATAATTATAACTTAGCCATAATTCTTTTAATGTTTGTCCTATTTCTTCTAATCCAGCTATTTTCTTTATATTGTTTCTTGATAGCGACAAGATTTCTATCTATCTTAAACCAGGCAAATTCACCATCTTTTCTATGGCATTTGAAGATAATGATAAGCGTTTCACTTTAGCTAAAGTANTACCATTCGACCAATAATCTTTGTTGATCTAAATAAATTAGCTCTAATTAAAATAATTTTTCTTTGATTATTATTCATTTTGATAACCTAATATTTATTTTAATTATATTTATAGTTTTTCATTTTTACAGTTTCAAACTCATCCCAGTTTTTGCAGTATTTTTGTTTAACTATATCTATATATTCATTATTTTAGTTGAATGACAATTACACTTAATATACTTTAATTACTGATGGCCATTAGAATTATATTTAATTTATATTAATTTAATCTATTATCATAATTATGAATGATTATAAACTTATTACAGTAGATTAATAATTAAAATGGATTAAATAATCTAGTTATTATAGAAAATCAAATTATTGAGGTTAAGATAGATGCCTAATGTTGATCATCTACAATTACATGAATTTATGTATTGTATTATAATGTCTAATTCTCTAGAAGGTTATATTTAAATAAGGGAATTAGAAAAGAATTCTAATTAATCATTTTAATCATAGTGAACAATTTAATTGTTTTAAGTTAAAAACAATAAAATCAAGGAAGTTTTCATGAGTTTTTCTAAAAGTCACATGAGCTGTATTTTTTTAGATATTTTCCCATTTTGATAATAATAATAATAATAATAATATAAAAATTTGCATAAATTATTGATTAAAATAATGAATGTAAATATAAAAGTATGACAAGAATAAATCTAAAAGTGCTGCTGTATATTTTTTATTGTTAACATGATTAATAATTTTCATTTAATAGTTGTTGTTGGACCTCCATCTCCTAAAGCTTTAACCTTTTCCATTAAAGAATCATCAACAACAGTACCATCTACATTTTTTAAGGTATTTATCCTTTTTAGTACAAGTAATTTAGGATCATCTTTTTAATTTTCGTATATAGGATTTCCTTTTTATAAAAAATAAAGTAATACCTACAAAAAGAACATTAGCTATTTCTGGGAGATCTTTTAATTTATCAACTTCATCCCAGACTTTAATTCTGTTATTACCAATATAAAGTGTATGCAATTTTACACAAGGCTATAGACCATCAAGTCTTTCTATATAATTATAACTTAGCCATAATTCTTTTAATGTTTGTCCTATTTCTTCTAATCCAGCTATTTTCTTTATATTGTTTCTTGATAGCGACAAGATTTCTATCTATCTTAAACCAGGCAAATTCACCATCTTTTCTATGGCATTTGAAGATAATGATAAGCGTTTCACTTTAGCTAAAGTATTTAAAACTGGAGGATCCAATTTATCAAGAGGAGGATTTTAGAACATCAATCTAATATCTTCTGCTTCTGATGGTTGTTCACCTGGATGTTCTTGTTCCCAATTTTATAATGCTTTTGCACAAGTTGTCTTAGCCATTTGATTATTTATATAAAATTTATTATTATATTGAATTTCTTAAAACTTCCTTTAAATATGTTAAAAGATTATACTTTCAAGATACTTATTAATATTTATAAAATTATTACAGGTTTTTAAAGTTTAATCACATGGTCGTTGTTTTTTGTTTTTATACTTATCTTATTAAATATTAATCTTAAAGAATTTAGAGAATTTCATTAACTATTTAAGGCAATATGCATTCATATTCTTATTTATATTAATAAAAACTATAGCTAAGCTGCAAATTTAATTTTTGTAATTGATGAGATTCACAAAGCCTAAAGTGAGTTTCGAACTTTGGAAATAATTTATATTTGAAAAAATTGTTAGTAAATAATGAATATATATATATATGTATTATAATCAATTTGAGATGTTTCAATATAGAGAATGCTTTGATTGGCTCTGAGCAAATATTATTGGATAGTTGATTAATATAAATTATACATGAATTCATTATTTTATTTATTAAATAACACTCTTTTTTGGAGTGAAAAAATAAAAGGAAGGTATGGTTTCATTATAAGAATATCGCTAAATATTCTTTAAAGATTGCTATATACATTTATATTTTACTAATTCCTTATTATTACTTTAGGAATGAGTGAAGAAAATTAATTGAATGCTGATAAAAACTAAAACAAAAATAATCTTGAGAAAATAATTAAGTTAGATAAAAAGAATGGGAATTTTGATATTTATGATAAATATTCAAAGTAGTATAAATTTCAATAGAAATAGGCGTAAATTGAAAATAAGGATCTGTTAGAATAATTCACACATCAACAGTTCATATTAAAATGAATATATTTTGTGCTATTTTTGGAGACACATAAATTAAGTATATTTCAAGAAAATTGATGAACCTGAATAAGAGAGACTTGATTATCTAAAGGCTATGAATGAGGATATTTTACACACAGAATTTCCTGTGAAATATGCAGATTACAAGTTTTACTAAGCAAGATCAATATTAAATAAGTAATATTTGAAATAAGAAAATGCCACTTATTAGGAAAATCTAAAGAAACATATTAGATTAAGTGGACTTATTCACAAAGCAAAGGATTTAAAAATACCTCATATTGATAAAATATATTATATGAAATAGAAAGCAATGGTTAATTTTAAATAAAAAAACATTAGGTATAAATTAATTAATAAAAGTTCGTTAACATAAGAAAATGCATAATTAGATAAGTTACTTGATAAGTTAAATGAATAAATAGAATTAAGAACTGGAAAATAAGATGAAATATTTTAATAGTTGTAAGAATATTAACAGGAATTACAGTAAATAAACAAGTCAAATAAAAAAGATCTTATAAATTTGAATTAAAAAATTAAATCTGAATAACCATTAAATGTTTTTGGGACATAAGTTCATATTTATAAATAGGCTCGAAACAATAATAATAATGGATTAAGCAAAAATTAAATAATATATAATAATGAAGCTTTGTTAACTTATTTAAGAAAGAGTTTAGAACAATTGGATTATAGATAAACTGCTGAATCAATTGTAAAAGTAGTTAATTCAACTCATTCTTAAAATGGATATACATTTTGTGTTGCTTTTGAGTAAGCTTTAAATTCTAATAATGTGAATATAGAAGAAGATTTAATGTATGAATTGGATAAATTAAGAGATACATCTCTATTTAAATTTTACAATATTCCTTAAAAAACTAAATATTCTCATATAGCTTAGAATGTATTAATAAAAATATAATATAAAGTTTATTGGAATTAATTAAGTTTAAAATAATAGATAGAAACCAAATCCATTAATTAATAAAAATCTTACAAAAGAATCTAAAATAACATCATAAAGTGATAATGATTAAAATATATTACGTTATGAAGCATGTCATCATTGTAAAATGTTGTTTAGAGATGAATATTTAATATCTTGTAATTATAGAAGTGGTACAATGGGATTGCCAATTGTAAATTCATCAATTACAGATTCTTATTTATTTTCATAGAGTATTCATTTAAATAATAAATTAGTGGATAATGAAGGAATAACAAGTAGAAGATAAGTACCTAATAGAAAGAAAACTGCTTATAGTATATATTCAAAGAAAAGTATTAATTTTTAAAATTATTAAGATGGTGAATTAATATGCTAAAGGAAATTCTGTAGAATGTGTTTAAAATAGAATTATGATATTAAAATTGAAGAAATTGCATAAAAAACTGATTGGGTTTGTCCATTTTGTTAAGTATATTATCGAATTAATAATAATTAAATAGGCAATTTGTTTTTGTTCAAGATGTCAAAGAAATGATATCATGATAAAATTGAAAGATCTTTATACAATATGTGGAGGAGATCTTGAATAATTAACTAAAGATTCAATTTTTGAAAAACATGTCAGACCATTAACTGATGAATAAATATATAAAAGAAAACCCAGTTAATTATAAGTATATTCTATTATTATGTTATAGAGAACTGGGTATTCTTTAATCAAATAGTAATTAACTAATTTTAAAGAGTAGTAAACTATAAGACTTGATTTTGAAAATCTTAGATTATTATGCTCATAGATTATGAGAAGAGAAAAAATGAAATGGAAACTATTAGAATAAGATGTGTTTATGTGGAATTAATATATAGAATAATAATAATAAAAATAGAAACCTAAGATTGTTCAAAAAAATAATAAATTATAAAGAAAAACAAAATCAATTACTTAAAAAATATAAAAGTAAGATAATTTATATATCTAATAAGATAGGTCGATTAACTTTAATAATTTTCACCCTCATCTTCAAGTAGTAGTGAATATCTTTAAAGCAGTGAATATGAATCTGAAGAAAATTAAAACTAATTCAAAAAGAATAAATAAATCATTCCAACTAAAATCAACATTAAATCTTAGTATAAATAATAGAAATAAAAATCACTTTAGAAAATATTGTAAAATTATAAATCTTTTCCAAATAAAAATATTAAGAGAGAAGTTGCCTATCTTTTACAATATCAAGATAGTGATACTTACAGCTTAATTCTTAAAAAAATCAAATAAGAACAAACAAAAAACTCATCTAAAAGATGATAATTATCATATTATTAGTATATAATAATAATTATTAATTATTAATCAACAAAGTAAGCTATGAATTCATATTATTATTATATACAAAAATAATGTTTATTACAATTCCATATTAATTGAGCATTCTAATTAAGAATTGTTTTTATTGTTTTTCACATCATCTTCTAAAATATTTTTTCTTTACATTAATCAATCTAATAGTCAATAATTTTATGTTAATTTAATAAATAAGGATTTTAAATAATTAGGTTTAGAAGAACTCTCAAATTTAAGAGGCCAATTAGGATCCATCAATAAAATGGCAGCATTTAATTCTGCTTCCGATATTTTATGCTATTTTCATACTCTTTTTGCTAATGATGGAAGTCTATTTAGTTTAATTTTTCTTTTTTATTAATCATCTTATTAATTTTGCATTGCGTCCTAATGTTGGACTTACTATACAGATTCTATTTCTTATGAAATGGATTATTTTTGCAAATATTGATAATTGTGAGTCAATATTAAAATTTACTTGAAAATGGGTAATTATCTAATTAACTATAAGAATTAAGCTGATTTGTATTTTTGGGAAAGCTTAGATATGGTTTACTTAATTTATATTAAAGAAATAATTTCGTCATTGGTACAATTGCATACACAATGAGTAGCATTGTTATTCTTTTATTATTTTAATTAATGTCCAAAAAATAAACTAATGATAATTCAGATAGATATAAAGGTGAAGCTGGTAATTTTCAATCTTTAGAAAGTGATGATGGTCCAGGACCTATGAAATGTATTAAAATAAAATCTAATTTATAGCAATTGAAGGATGGATTGTTATTGTTAAAGGCATTCATGAAGAAGCTTAAGAAGATGATGTTTTTGATGCATTTAGTAAATATGGACCTATAAAAAATCTACATTTGAATTTAGATAGAAGAACTGGATTTGTTAAAGGGTATTATTACTCAATATAATATTTATTAGATATGCATTAGTTGAATTTAATGAATACTAACATGCATCTGATGCAATTAATGCCATCAATAAATCAGAAGGTATCTGTGGTAAAAAAGTTCAAGTTGATTGGGCTTTTAAAAAGCCTCCTAAGAAAGGAGCATTAAAATAAACTAAAAAATAATGATTAAGAATTTATTTAGTTTTTAATAAATAAAAAGAAGTAGTAAAATTATGATGAAATATAATTTTAGTAAAATAATAATATTTCTTTCGGTTCTTTGTAAATTTTTAGTAGATAATTAATTTATTATTCATATCTAGAATAAAAATAACTATATTCCAATAAATATATATTTATATGAAAAATAGTAATACTAAATTTAATTATAATTAAGATATTTTAATTTATATTTTGAGTAAATATATTGATATATCAGAAATCATCGATGTTAAATCACATCGATTCTAAATCATTTTCTAGTTAATTTCGACCTAAAAAGGTAGTATAATCAATTTAATTATTCTGTTTACTCTTTAACCTTCTTCTAAAAATAGGGTTCTTGTGAATAATATATTCTTCCTCTAAATCAAAAAGAGTTCTACGCGAAGTATGTTTAGAACTTTGATCTTAATCAGATTGCTCGAAAGTGGGAGTAGAAGGAGTTTGTGGAGTTGATGGCAAATTAAGTGTACAATATGTTAAATTTTACATTGTAAAATTAATAATAATTATATATATAGATTAATTTAAATTCAAATTAATAGAAGACCTAAAAAGAATATTATAAATTAATATAGATCCTTAGATAAGTATTTAAATCATGTTGATGGAAAGAACTATGTTTTTCTGTATATATTTATTATGAAATTATTAGATTTTTAAGAAATGAATTTCTAATATTTAAATTTTTAAAGTTTATTTTGGAAGGAGATAACTTTTTAAGGGTTTTGATTAGAATAATAAAAAATATTTAATATGATTTTATTAATAACAATGAATTAAGATTTGAATAAAGTTGTATGATTATGAATAACTTGTTAATAAACGGTAATATATTATAATAAAAATAAATTATAAATTCAATTAAAAAAGGTATAATAAATGTCTTGTCAAACACTTTTTAAGTGAATTCTCATATATAAATCAAAAATCTTAGACATAGCCCTAGAATAATTCTTTTGATATCAGTTAAAATAAGTTATTTAATCAATAAGGAATTAAAAGGATATGAATTTTGGAGATACAGTGTAATTGAGAAGAATTAATAAGAAATAATAATAAAAAGGGTTTAGATAAAATAATTTTGTGAAGGGAAAGGATATAAAGTTTGGATGAAAATAAGATTTTATTATCTAAAATAGTAGAGTCTGTGTAAATTAACAAATGAAAATATAATGGGAAGCATTTTAAATTTTTAAGGCTCTCAGAGAAATGTATTTTAATAATTGATAAACTTTTGAATACACAGATGAAAGGGCTCAACAAATATCTAAAAGATATTTTTAAAAGAAATGAGGGATTTATTCTTTGTTTAAGATCTACGAAACTATTTTAAATAAAGATATGTTAATGAATGTTAAACATTTTAAATCAAAAAGGGTGATGTAAAATGATTTAAAAGAGAGTTTTCATATTAGAGACAATAATTAAATAGTATATAATAAATTAGAGACAATAATTAAATAATATATTAATGAACAAAAATGAGATTTTTGTGGTAATGAAATCTTTAGTTCTATTTAAGTTAAGTATGGAGTTTAAAAACATTGAATTTGTGATTTATTTAAAATAATAATGATTTAATTGAATTTTTATAATTTTAAGGAGTAAATTGTTATTTGATATATATATTAATAAAAGGAAGTATAATAATTTCTGAAAATTAGGGTAAGATAATTAGAGAATATTGTATAAAATAAATAAAATGTTTAAAAATAAAATTGATATGATTATTGTATTGATATTGATAATATCATATATTTTTTAGGAATTTTTCTTCATACAACTTGATACTTTCATCAATAATTCTGTATGCATCTTCTTTTCCTTTGAATTCTTCTACTACAACATGCTTGTGTTCAAGTTTTTTGTAATCTTCAAAGAATCTTTAAATTTCCAAAGTTGTATGCATAGGAAGATCTTTCAAATCATTAATTCCTTAATATGAAGCATCATTTTTGGCAACTGATATTATTTTATCATCTATTTCTCCTTAATCAACCATGTGCATAACACCAATTACTCTAGCTTCTACTAAACACATAGGCTCTATTTCAACTGAACATAACACTAAAATATCTAAGGGATCATGATCATCACAATAAGTTTGTGGAATAAATCCATAATTGGCAGGATAATGAACAGATGAAAATAATACTCTATCTAATTTTAATAGACCACTATCCTTATCCAATTCATATTTGGCTTTACTGCCTTTTGTGATTTCAATAATTGCATTCAAAAATCTATTTATTTATATATAATATTATTTACTTTGGACTTTCACTTCCATAATGAACATGATGCCATGGATTTTTAGCATACTTTTGAATTAATTAAGTTGATTGTTAATGGTTCATAAATTAATAAATAAATAAAATAATTCATATATTAATTAACTTAAATACTCTCTGTATCATTTTTCAATATTATTTATATATTAAAAATAAAGACAATCATAAATAGGAAATTTTTATTAAAATTATGAAATTAAAGAATATCTAATAGATAAAATAGAAGATGGAAGTATAAAAAATAGAAGATTAAAATAATAATAAGTTTAAGTTAATTAATTTACTTATTATTAACATATAGTAGAATCATAATAATTAATAATGAATTTTATTCTGAAACTATTACATTCATTTCATTTGTTACTATACTAATTCTTACTAAATGTTATTAGTTGTTATTCAATCAGAAATACATACTATCTAATTAGAAAAATATAATAATTAAAATATTTGGCATTTTGACTAAATATGTGTTATTTTTAAACCAAAAATTTGATATTTCGCACGATAATTTTATAGATATGATGATTCCAAAGAATTGAAATAATAATTAATCATATTCATAATCCTAAAAAATTAAAAATTACAGAAGAGAAATATATCTAATGTTCTTTATGGCTAATAAAATTATTTATTAACATTTATATAAAATAAATAATCTGAAGATATCAAAATAGATGAGATGCAAGTTGTTTAAATGAAATAAAAGTATTTAAGAAATATGTATAATTAATGGTAATATTTTATTTCGAATAGAGACAGAATAATAGAATAGGATTTAAATGATAAAAGAAGTCAATAAGAAATTAATATTATTATAGATATAATAGAATTAATAGTAAAATGTATTTGAGAAAGTGAAAATAGAATAGTAAATAGATATCAGAATAAAAAAATGTTTGTTTATTTTATGATATAAATGCATAAATAAAATAATTGAGATATTTAATATTTAAATTATTAAACTAACTCCAACTTGCATAGAAAAAGTAATATCTCCTCCTTCTTTTCTCACATTCGTCTCATATATTACAAAGTGTTGATTTTTTTATTCTTAGTGAATACGTCGAATGATGAATATGCTTGGGCTTAACATTAATAGGATGGTAATAATTTTCTTTTTTTAATTTATTTCCCTCTTATAGATCTTCCTCGAAATCAATTCTTCCCGCCATCTATACCAGTAGATAAGGACATAAAGAATAAAAATTGCAAATTGCATATAGGAAACCTTCCTCTATAGATTACAGAAGAGACTTTACATCGTGTGTTCTCCAAATATGGTTAAATCAAAGAAGTTAAGATCATTCGCAAAAATAGTTAAGGGGTTTAGTTTTTAATATATATTTAAATAAGTAACCACTAAAAGATTACTGCTATGGGTTTGTTCTTATGTGCGACGGTGATGGAGCTTAAAATGCTGTCACAGAATTAAAATAAAATAGTCCATTAGGGACTACTTGGACAGTTGCTTTTAGTAAAGATAAAAATGATGTATACTTCTACGTTTTCTATTCTTTCTTAAGGATTCTGCAGGGGCCGGTCATTAGAAATCTGATAAAAAAAAAGATGATAAAGTTAAAAAGAAAGAAAAATCAAAAGAAAAATTAAAAAAAGATAAGTCCAAACCAAAAAAGAAAGTTGTATTTTTAATTTAATAAAAGAAGAAGAAATCTGAATCATCCTCATCCTCTGATTCTTCAAGAGCAAGATCTGCTAAAAAATAAAAAAAATAAAAAAAACGTAAACATTCTACTTCATCTGAATCATCTTCTTCTAAATTGCCACCTAGAAGTGCTCTTGTCAAAGTTGAAAATAAAGATATCGCAGACATTGTGTTTTCTGGTGGCGATTTATAATCTCATCTTATTTATTAATAAGTAATTAATTATCTCTATCAAATTAAGTAGCCATAATAGCAATATCATATAAATCATAATGTATATGTAAGAGAGTTATTTATATCCGGAATACCTTAATCTAAAGTATCTGCTGATATATAACGAATATTCTCTGCATATGGTATTGTTGAAAGAATAGATATTGTACCTAAATAATTAGTCAATTATGCTTATGTCAAATTTAAAAGATTAGAATCTGTACTTTAAGCTATGCAAAATTCATAATTAATTGCAGAGTAACTTGAAAGTGCAGGATAAGTTAAAATATATTAATCAGATCCTTTTAGAAGAGTATAAATTGTTGGAAATGCTGAAGATAGTGAAAGAGTATCAATATATATAATCTAATCTTTAGGAAGAAGAAATGTGGCCAGTTATGTTTATTGGATTCCCTCCTAATTAAAATTGTGTTTTGGATGAAAAGTTTTTAAAAAAAATGGCTGAAAAATTTGGAGGAGAAGTTAAAGGAATTTAACATTTCTTACCTGACTCACCTTAATTAAGATCTTATGTTCTTATTGAATTCTCACTTTTAAAAGATTGTAAAAAAGCAAGAAGAAAATTTTGCAGATATAAAATACAAATTTTGGGTGATAAGAAATGTGATGTGGCTATCTTATCTAATTATCCAGCCAATTTACAGAATAAAAGATAAAATAATTTGTTTATGTAATAACCATATGGAATGGGTATTATTCTCATAATAAATTTAGATTATTTACAAGTTAATCAGCAAATGCCTATACATTAGTAAATGGTATAAAGACCATTGCCATAATAAGTGTAGATGATGCCTAATTTTTAGAATTAAGCATTACCATAATAACATATTACTCCCCCTAGTATCCCAAATATTTATGACTACAGCTAAATACCTATGTTGTATCCTCAATAATAATAAAGCCAACAATAAATGATGTTTATGAAAAACCAATAACAATAACTTTAAATTCCTCCTTAAACTCCAGTTCAACCTCAATTCAGACCATAAGCTCCACCAAATCCTCAAACATAATAAGCACCTTAGCTATAATTTTATTAATAGTTAAATCCTTAAACTCAAAGCTAAAATTATATGCCATAATAATACTCAATGGATATGATCATCCCACCTCCAACAATGAAATAAGAAGAAATCAACTCTCCTTTTTGGTGTGGTTACATGAATAGAGGAAAGTAACATCGTGTTGGAATAGATGCAAAAATGCACAAAGCCAATATGGATACTAAGAAAAGTATAATAAATAAATTATTTCTTAAGTTAATTTACCCTCAAATTTAGAAATGAGCTACAAATGTACATATCAAGATGCATATCAAAGAGCAGGGTAAGATTAATCAGCTATTTTAATATTTACTCCCTCTCAAGACATTGATTATCTAAAGTTCAATGAATATGTTCAATACTTAAGAAATAAGGTATTCATTATTATAACTATGTATTTAAGTAACGAGCTGGTGTTATATAAAGTGAAACTTTCACTATCTATGTTATTCCTCCAGGAGTATAAGAGGCATAACTTATTTGCAATATTAACTAATAAGAAATGATAGCTATTTATTGTCATAAAGAGTTAAAATGATAAATTTATTGATAAATAATATATATATATATATATATTAATAGAATCAAATATTTTATTAAATTTCAGGCTTAAAATTATTTATAACTAAACTTTTCTATTTTCTATACTCATATTTAACAGATTATTTTTATTCAATATCTTAAAATAAAATATTTTTTAATTATTTATTTATTCATAAATTGAATTAAATTGCTTTAAATTATATTTAAATGGTTAAACTATAAATGATATAATTTGAAATTTGAATGGTTTAACACCTGATCAATAGGTTTGTCTTTTATCTGAAATAGCAGGATTCATAAAGATCTTTTTGAAGATTGTTAGTTTATTATAAATATGACATCTTAACTTAAACTAAATATTTTTAAAGTTTAAATTTAAAACATGAATTATCTATAGAAATTTAAAATAGGATTAGATATTTAGTTTTTTTTCTTTAAAATAGAGATAAGGGTATTTTAAATATTTGCTTGGATTAGATTAATATTTCTATTTAATTTAATAATTAATTAAAAATAAAATTTAATATTTAATATTTAATATTTAATACAAGTTATAATTGTTATAGAATGAATGATAAAGTTTATTAATAAAAATTTAATCGTTAAATGGATTATTAACAAAATCAGTGTCAACACATAGATCTTATTCCTTTTAGCAATAAGTTCTTTTGCAGATCATGCGGTATTCATATGCCTGAAGATGGAAGTATTGGAATAAAAGGTTAGAACTTTAACTTTCCAGGTTATCTAAATCCAATATAAAATCTAAAGAAACAATGGAATAGGGCAGTTCCTATAGGATCATTGCCAAATGAATATTAGAAAGTATTATTCATATAAATTGAATAGCAAAGATTATCACTTATTGATTATATGATAGAGTGGAGTGAAAAATTAAAATTATCCATGAATTCTTTATTTTTGGCAGTCTAATTTTTAGATTATTTTATATCATAAAAGAAAGTAGATCCAGTTTAATATAGATTATATGGTGCTACATGTCTTATGTTAGCAGGTATATTCTTATATATATTTTAATAGCTAAATCTATAGAATTAGATGAGAGAATTCCTTTCATAAGTAAATTAAGAAGATATACCTATTTACCTTATTCAACAATAGATTTTAGGAGATGCGAATGTTAGATAATAAAATAATTGAATTGGAATTTACAATGCACAACTTTAATTGATTGGGCTGAGGCAGTAATCTCTTTAGGTATAGTCTATGAGTAAGATGAATTATGTCAATCAGAAAATGTTCTTAAAGAGAAAAGTACTAATATTCTATAACAATAAAATAATTAACAATAAATCAAATAGGATATTTTTAAGGAACATTTAGATAATGTTTTTAAATAGCCTTCAACAGTACCTAAATAGATCAATGAAAAAGTTTAGGAATAATTAATCAAACTTTGTATTTCTTTACTTAAGGATGGTACATATTTAGATAAAGATCCTGCTGAATTAACAATTTCAGTTATTGGATGTGCTCGTAAAGCTAGTGGATTAAAAAATGCAATGTAAATTATCAAATATTAAATAGACCAAAATGTTTGTTTGAATTATTAGATAATGTAGAACCTAAGTTTTAAGAAAGTTTAACTGATCACTTTATTAAATAAGTAAAATAACCAACAAGTGTATTGGGTAGAGCATTTACAACAGACTTAGATTTTTTTAGTCTTTAAAATTATAAACATAGAATTGCATGATAATATAATAGTTAATTATAATACTACAATGTATAACATCATTAAAATTCATCGATTGTGTGAATTATCTTACTAAACTGACTTTTTTTTAAAGGATCCTCTTTCAATGATTAAACTGATTTTCTATGATGGGGTATTATTTCTTAATTTGGAGATAAGTATTCATGTTGAGAAGAGATTATTTTAACTTCTTTAAGTTCATTCTTGAAGGCCAAACCATTGTTAGAATCAAATCTAGGTGAAATTTATAGGTAACATCTTTTATAATTATTCTTAGAGCTCTCAGAACCTTATGATGATTATCTAGAATGATTAGTTGATCCTAATGTCAATTATTTTTTCTGTTTCATTTTTATATTTAATAGTGAAGGAATTAATTTTATCTGAGTTAAATTGTGTATTTTATCATTAACTAATTGTAGATAAGAAATGATAACTTTCTAGTATTTGAATATATATGTTTTTGATATTATTTATAAGTTGTATTGATTTGATAAATAGAAGAAATAAAAATGTTATTAGACTAAAAATAAAAATAAAATTTTAGAGTTTATGCAATAATATTTATAATAATAGTATAAATATTTTGTTTTGTATTTTTTATTAATGTAGATTTGTATCATCATCATTCTTCAAGCATTTTTTTTCCTTTATCTGCATACTCTTTATTGAGTTCTTCCCAATTTTCCAATACCATTTCAAATTGCTCAAAGATCATTGAATGTGTTAATCTGTTTCTTGAAGGTCCAACTTCCATAGAATAAATCTTATGAGAAGTATTGGTTTCAATTGTTCTATTTAAATAGACTCCATAACTTAATGTAATTAAATGTTATTTACACATAATGAGGAATCCAAATAATAGCTGCTAAACCAAATGAAAGTCTAGTTTCTCTTCCAATATAATCATCATATAATCCTCTAAACCACCAATGTCTATTTCTGACTGCAATAGCTGCTCCCATATTTAATTAATGATATTTAATTAAGATTTTATTGAATATATATATTAGGATAATATTTGTAAAGAAGTATAATAAGGATTTATCTAAAGAATTAATAACAAAATTAAATGATTAATAAGAAAGAGAATGAATTAATAAAAATAATGTATCTATAAATGATTGTCAAAATAATAATATATTAAATAAATAAATGATGATTATTTGAATATAGAAATAATTGCGAGATTGTAGAAGATGAGAAATATAAAAATAAAATAAATTAAGTTTTAATTATATTATAAATGAATACATATGAAGATGAGAAGAATAGAATAGCATTGAAAAATATAATAGATGAGAGAAATAAAAAGATAGTAAAAAATCCATTGCCATAATTCTATTTAGATTAGGTTTGTGGAATAGCTGATAGATAAATCAGTAATCAATTAACATTTTATTAAGGAAGTAATGGAAGTTATATTAATAAATAGATTTAATTGTGTTTTATGCATCTAATATGATAATAGTTTAGAATGTTGAGACAGGATAATAATAATTTATACCTGGAAGATATAAAAATGTGACTGCAATAGCTGCTGCAAATAGAAAAGATGGTTTGATGATAGCAGTAGGAGAAAATTTAGAATAATCATCTAACTTAGTTATTATTATAAAAGATAAAATTAGAACTATCTCATTATAATCTAAAGGTGCTATTACTTTGATTTAATTAAATGTAGAAAAATAATATTGTGGATTACAAATATAAAATTAAATATAAATTTGGAATTATGAAAAAGAAAGATTATTAGCATCAGCATTTGTTAAAGCACCTTTTGATAAATTTAGTTTTCATCCTTTGAAACATAAACATATTTTATTATCTGGTCATAATTATTTAAGATTATGGGAAATGTAATTTTAAGAAAAATAAATTAAAGAAACACATGAAACACTTATTCCTTTAAAAATAGAAAAAGAAAATAAATTCCTAGATCATGGTTGGGTAATGTTATCTGCTAATTAAGCTTTATTAGTATTATTAGCTGCTGGAAATAAAATACTTATTTTAATTAATGATCATTTTAAAAAACCTATAGATATTGATCCTTAAAATTTAAATTTTATTGATGCACCAGTATAAGATTTTAATGCAGAAGATAATGATGATGTAATGGGAATTAATTCAGCATTAGAAGATGTTATTAAAGATAAAGTTGGATAAATTGTTATGAATAATTAAACTAAATTAACTTAAAATACTACAATTATGACTTAATAATAATTAGAATTTTAATGTTTATCAACTACAAAAAAAGGATTTATATTAGGAGGTACTAAAGGAGCTGTTTGTATTTATGAATTTGATAAAAATTATAATATAGTAAGTGCTATGTCTTTTAATATGAAAAGTAATAGAGGTGAACATAAAGTTATTCAAATATCTAATAGTGGAGATCAATTAATTTCTATTATTAGTTTATTTGGAAATCAACTCTATTATAGTATTCTTAATACAGCATAAATGGATACTGAAATTAGTCCTATTTAACCATTCTTTGCTGCTGGATTCCATAATAAAAGAGTCAATTCAATATCACATGCTAAAATTAAATAAGTATTCGTTACATGTTCTGAAGATAATTCTGTTAAAATTTGGAATTATTATTAAAANAGCTGCTGCAAATAGAAAAGATGGTTTGATGATAGCAGTAGGAGAAAATTTAGAATAATCATCTAACTTAGTTATTATTATAAAAGATAAAATTAGAACTATCTCATTATAATCTAAAGGTGCTATTACTTTGATTTAATTAAATGTAGAAAAATAATATTGTGGATTACAAATATAAAATTAAATATAAATTTGGAATTATGAAAAAGAAAGATTATTAGCATCAGCATTTGTTAAAGCACCTTTTGATAAATTTAGTTTTCATCCTTTGAAACATAAACATATTTTATTATCTGGTCATAATTATTTAAGATTATGGGAAATGTAATTTTAAGAAAAATAAATTAAAGAAACACATGAAACACTTATTCCTTTAAAAATAGAAAAAGAAAATAAATTCCTAGATCATGGTTGGGTAATGTTATCTGCTAATTAAGCTTTATTAGTATTATTAGCTGCTGGAAATAAAATACTTATTTTAATTAATGATCATTTTAAAAAACCTATAGATATTGATCCTTAAAATTTAAATTTTATTGATGCACCAGTATAAGATTTTAATGCAGAAGATAATGATGATGTAATGGGAATTAATTCAGCATTAGAAGATGTTATTAAAGATAAAGTTGGATAAATTGTTATGAATAATTAAACTAAATTAACTTAAAATACTACAATTATGACTTAATAATAATTAGAATTTTAATGTTTATCAACTACAAAAAAAGGATTTATATTAGGAGGTACTAAAGGAGCTGTTTGTATTTATGAATTTGATAAAAATTATAATATAGTAAGTGCTATGTCTTTTAATATGAAAAGTAATAGAGGTGAACATAAAGTTATTCAAATATCTAATAGTGGAGATCAATTAATTTCTATTATTAGTTTATTTGGAAATCAACTCTATTATAGTATTCTTAATACAGCATAAATGGATACTGAAATTAGTCCTATTTAACCATTCTTTGCTGCTGGATTCCATAATAAAAGAGTCAATTCAATATCACATGCTAAAATTAAATAAGTATTCGTTACATGTTCTGAAGATAATTCTGTTAAAATTTGGAATTATTATTAAAATGAAAATAATGATAAAAAAGGAGTCTTAAGTAAATATTTTAAAGAAGAACCTGTTTGTGCATCTATGCATCCATTTGGTTTATTTGTTGCTGTTGGATTTACTAATGGATTCAAAGTTTTTGCAATATTAAATGAAGGTTTCTTTCCTCTTAAAGATGTTACATTAAATAATTGCAAAATTGTTAAATATAGTCATGGAGGTCATATGCTTATTACTAATGAAAAAACTAATGTTTATATATATGATGCTATTTATTATGAACTCATTCATCAATTTGAATTTCATAATTCACCTATTAAAGATATTGCCATTTCACTTAATGATCAATATATTGTTAGTACTTGTACTAATGGTTATGTTTATTGTTATAATCTTGCTGAATTAAATAATAATGTAGTTAGGGAATAAAAACATTAGGAATAAGGAATTTTCAATTCTATTTAGTATGATGAATATTTCATTGGTTGTACAAATGAAAAATTAATGACTATTTTTGATAAACATTTTAAATTAATTACTGAATTTCATGTAACTGATTGTTTCTTAACAAAATTATTAATGACTGATTAACATATCATTGCTGGTACTTCTAAAGGAACTGTTAGAATATATCCTATAAGAGATGAAGATAATTTAGAATTAGAATTAATTAATTAAAAGAATGAAACAATGTATAAAATACCTGAATGTTATGAAATTTCAGTTCATGCTACTGCTATCACATGTATTGATTTTGATGGTTAATATATATTTACAGGATGTGAAGATGGTTCTGTTTGTTTATTGAAATCAAAAAGTGAAATTTCAGAAGAAAGATAAAGGATGGCTGCTGTATCAAATGATCTCTATCTAGAAGTCATTTTTAAAATTCAAAAAGAAAATGATAGAATTTAATCTAAAAATTTTGAAGTCATAAAATCTGAATAAACTGTAAGAATTGAAACTGCAAAATTAGAAACTTAATTTAAATAGAAAATAGATCAAATGACAAAAAAGTTTTAATAAACAATGTCAGATGATAAAAATTTAATGGATAAATTTGTTGAGAAATCAGAATTTGATTATACTCAATTACTTAGCTAATATAATGAAGAAAAAGATAAATATGAAAATGAAATCAATAAACTTAAATAGTAACATATTGAAAAAATAGAATATGAAGAATCTAGAAATTAAGAAATTGAAGATGAAATTAAAAAAGTTTAAGAAGAACATAAAGATGATTTACAATCCTTATTAGAATAACATAAATAGGAATTAAAATAAATGAAATTGCAATTTTACGAGAAATGTAGAAAAGTATAAGTAAAATATTCTAGTGTTGTTGATAATGCTAAAAATTATGGAACAGCTTTTATTTAAAGATTAGAAAAAGAGGAAGCAGAATATGAAAAGGAGATTGATGAATAAATAAAAGATTTAGAAAATCAAATAGCTAAAGTTATTTAAGATAATGAAAAATTGGAAAAAGAAAATGGAGAATTAGCAAAATAATTTGAATAATTGAAAAAAGATGATGATGATCTTCAAATACAATTCAATAATGATTTTGATAATCATAATAAAATTAGACTTGAAAATCTTAAAAATGATGATGATATCCTAAAAATGTAACATTAATTACTCGAAAGATTATAAGTTATTGATTCTAAAGAAGAAACTTGCAAAGCTGCTAAAGATGAATAAATCAATTTAGAAAATTTTAGATATATGTTAGATTAAAAAATTAAAAGTTTGTAAAATGACAAATAATTATTGCTTGACAAAATAACTGATAAAGAAGTAACATATTTTATATTTTTTATAGTATAAATTAAGGGTAATGTTTAAAGAATTGATTGATGAATCAAATAAAAATGAAATGAAATACTAATAATTAGTTTAATTAAGAGGATAATTAGAAGTTATTGAAACTTAAATTAAAAAAACAGAAATTTAAATATTTTTGAATGCTAACAAATTAAAAAATTACGAAAGTGTAATAAAAAACAATTTATTCATTATAGACCTTATTATCTATCATGAAAAGTAATGATCCTCCAAGTTTAATTGCCTAGAAATTAAGATAAATTATAGATGATAAGGGAGAAGAGAATGAGGAAATAGAACAATTATCATAAAAAAAATCTATTTCAAATAAAGATATTAAAGACATAATAAAATTAAAATAAGATAAACCTAATGAATTAAATGAAGAGTTATTAAGATAAGGTTAATGGATGACAAAGAAATTATATCTTATTAAAGTGACTTCAGATAAATTAAAGAAAATTAGAGATGATAATATCAATACTATTTTTAATTAAAATACAAAATTGATTGAAGAATGTAATATGCTTAGAAGTGAAAACGACAGATATTCTAAAAAAATTAAACATGTTGAAAAATTAGTAAAAGATGCAGATAGATTATTATAAAGATTAAAGCCTAAATTCAACAAATAACCAAAACTAAATTAAATTGAAAAATAAATAGAGGAATAAAAGCAGAAAGTTTAAAATTAGAAAACAAAGCTTTCTAATTTAAAAGATTCCATGAGTTAAATTTTAAAAAAATCAGTTGTAGATTGATATAGTAACAATACAAAATATTGTCCAAATAAATCAATATAATAATTTATTCATATTATTATTTTCATTAATTATTAATTTATCAGATATTTTTTTAAATTGCAAGAATATTCGAATATATTTGAATCTCTTGTGTTTTTAGTAACATGTAAAAAAACTATCATAAATTTTGAATTTAATCTTACAATGACTGGTTACTTTAGAATTTATATATATTTAAACAAATATTTGAATGAATAAAAGAAATTTATTAATATGTCAGAATATAAAATACATGTTGACGTATTAAAAATTAAATGAATTTCACGTATTTATATGTTAAACATTTGTTATAGGTATTTTAAGAATTAAATTAGTTCTTTAATTCATTTAATGTCTTTAATTGTTCGAAATATATCAAGTTTAAGGGAAGAATGGAAATAGTTGGTAAAAAAAAAGATAAAGAAAAGCAAAAGAAAGAATTAATATACATAAGCATATTAATTTGGCAACAACACAAACAATTAAAACTAGAAATCAGATATTCTTCTAATAGTTAAGAATATTCCATAAACAATACCAAATAAAAATATTTTTAGACTTAAAACAAACATTCAGTTTTCAATAAGTATAAATAATGAATTTTCAATGGGATCACTCTCTGTTGATCCTCATTCAAACAATTATTAGGTTGTTAGAATTGATAAAAGGAAAAACCTTACTATTTTAACCTTAGATCAAATAAATAGACCTATAACACCATCAGAAGTGCTTTATAAAATGTTTAAAAGTAGAAATGAATAATTAGCTGAAGCATTTCATCAATATGATTTAAGGAATCTTAATATTTCTAAATTTGAATTAAATTAAGTTTCAGAAATGATAGAATATGAATAAAGTATAAAATTTTTACCATATGCATGTTATGTATAAATATACGAGAATGGGATGTGGAGAACATTTCAGAAGATCTTCAATTAGAAAATGCTTTGGGTATTAGGAATTTCTGAAGAAATGCTTATTCATTATTGTAATGAAACTAAATTAATTCCGATAAGTGCTTATTTTGATCCATCAGATGAATAACTTAAAGTATATTACAAAATATTTTGTGGGAGAGTAAAATAAATTGAATCAAATAGAGATTACATAAATTATAATGGGGAGAGGTTTACTGCTGCTTTAAAAATACGAAGTTTTTTTATTAAGGATGAAGATAAGGATTAATTATTTGAATATACATATTGTGTAACAGATTGTGAAAATAAGTGGATGTCAGAAGATAGAATTAGATTAAATTAAATAGATTATTTTAATATGAAGCCTAGTAATTCTACAACAGATGAATCTTCATATATGGAGACATAGAAGAGATGTGGATTTAAGTATATTGAATGATATTTTAGAAACAAGTTGTTTATTATAATTTATTATTTATAAATTTAATTTATTATATTGTCTTATGTGAAAATTATCTATTTAATTATTTTCCATTTAATCAAATTTATTTAGTTATGAATAGCTTTTAATTTTTTTAACTTTTTTTGAATGAAATAAAATTAAGTTTAAGAGGAATTCGTAACCATTTTATAAAGCTTTGTAAGTCAATAAAATGAATTGACTAATAAGTTCTCATAATTTTTATTGAAATACAAATAATAAGAATCATTAGGGATCTTTTCAAAGATATCAGATGAATTAGTACAATAAATGAATATGTCTTCACAACAATAGTAATTATAATATTAGAGATATCAAACAATTGATAATCATGTTAGAAGTCATAGATTTAAATTTAAATACGAATGTGAGTATTGTGGAAAGGGATACATTCATAAATTGCCAATGAAAAAACATTTAAAAAAGGTTCATTCAGATTACAAAAAGGCAAGTTAATTGGATATCTATGATGAAACTAAAAGAAAACAATTTACTGCAAGAGAATTAATGAAAAAAATAAATTTAGATGATGGATTTGAGAATGATTGTTAAATGATAACAAGTAATAAATTATCTGAGAAAGAGATTCGATAAAAATTATTAGAGACACTTTAAGTATTAGATAAATAAAATGAAGAAGAGAATATTATTATTTATGATTCAAAAGAAGACTTGGATTAATTAGAAGTAATTTTATTAGATGATATAATTGATTAATGAATTATTTATATATATATCTATATATAGAATAATTTCATTAATCATCATTAGCTTCTTCTTCAGGATTATTCCATAAGGTTAGATTGTCTCTTAACAATTGCATGATTAGAGTACAATCTTTGTAATTCTCTTCATTCACAGTATCTACTTAAGCAATAGCTTATTCAAAAGCTTCATTGGCTATTCTTATAGCTTCAGTTGCATTTTATAGGATTTCATAATAAAATACTGATTGGTTGAGATGTAATCCCAATCTAATTGGAGATGTAGTTGATAAATTTGATTTAGCAAGTACATCTGCTTCTCTAATATTTAGAATAAGTAAAGAATTACTTATAAGCTTATGTAGCTTATTCTACAGCACCATGATATTCATTATCTAATAAAAATTCTGCTAAATATCTATTATAATCTCCTTTCATTTTTAAATAAAACACTTTGCTATCAACTTATTTTGCATTTGGATATAAAGTGCTATCAATCAGATTCAGTATTTCAGAACATGAATTTTTGAGTTCTCCTTCAATTTTATGTTTGTAATTTCTAATATAATTTAAAGTGTATTGGTCTGTTTGTTTTCTAGATTCTTTTTATTCTATGGCAGTAAGTACTCTTAATTCTGCTCTCTTATTACCTACCTATAAATTTGAATATTCAATTAGATCGATACCACATTTTTATATGCTGCTGATAATATGCTTCTTTCTTCTTTATTTAATTCCTAATCCAAGAAATGTTTAATGAATTCAATCATATCATTAAATCTCTCTGTTTATTGTGCTATTCTAGCTAAGAATAAAAATTCTTCTCTGCTAAATTTATTCATTATTTATTTAATATATTCATTTCTAAATTTATTTCTTTATCCAAATATAACTTCTTTGATATTATCTATATGTACTATTTCCTATCTAAAAATAATCTTTTGATTATTCTCTATCTTCCTAAATATAAAATATATATATATTAATAATTATCTATAATATCTTTGATTCTTAGAAAGTCCTAAACCTACTCTTAAAATTACTCTATAAGATTAATAAAATAATTGAATGAATTATTCTGTATATTACTATTACTCAGTTTTTCATAATATGAATATTGTATATTGTTCACTTAAAATTTAATGAAATAGTATAAGAATTTAAGAGATTGTTTATTGCACTAGAAAAATTTAAATTCTAAATAACCTTAATCTAAAATAATATTAATTATAAAGTAATAAATACTTTGAGAAAGAATAAAATTAGAAATAATGAATAGGTGTATAATTTGATCTTTATTGAATGATTATAAAAAATTGATTAAATTTTGAAATATGTTGTTTATATTTAAATTAATATTATAGAAATGAATTATGATTATATAGGTGCCATTAAGATAAAAGATGGATTATTTTTAGGAGATTAATTTGCTGCATAGGTATTGATTAATGATTAGATTAGGATCTTGAATTTATAGTTACTAACAAAGTTTCAAGAATTATTAACTGTGCATCTAAATAAATACCAAATCACTGGGAATCTATTGGGATAGTTTATATGTCTTTTCCATGGCTTGATACTGATTAATAAGTATTAAGAATATCTTAATCTCTAGGTTATTTTTCAATAAGATGAGATAATTAATAATATAATTAAATTTGTAGATGATGCATAAAATAATGGAGAAAGTGTTATAGTTTTATCAGTTAAAGGCCATAATAGATCTGTAGCAACTTTATGTGTTTACTTAATGAAGAAATATAGATGGACTCTATATAAAACACTTTAATATATGCATAATAGAAGACCAGATTTAGAAATTAGAGCTCATTTCTTTAATTAATTATTATCAGTTGAAACTAGATTATAAAAATAAGGTTATGGTGCTAAGAGTTATAATTGGGATGAAGTATATACATAAGGTGAAAATGATGAAATTGTATTAAGAAATACATATTTGAACTCTTAAGCATAAGGAGTAGCTGAATTTAAAGATCATGATCCAAAACCAAAAGAATCTAAGTTCTGCATATTTATATTTCTAGATTGAAATTTGCTGAAAAGGTCTCTATGTATATTCCACCTTATGACAAAGTAATATTCTCTAAAACAAGATAAATTTCAGATGCTAAATCTATTATTAAGTTATCAGGTTCATCTAAATAAATAGATCCATCATTTTAATAATAAACTTAAAAACAATAGTCTATAAATAATTAAAATTAATCCAACATATAATAATAATAATAATAATAATAAAAAGATTCATAAAAATCAAGTGTATAATACATTTAATCTATCTATCCTTAAAGACCTTAATCTTAAGGCATTCAATAATAAAGATTAAATAAAAGTGATAGTGTTAAATCTGGATAAGTCTTAGATAATAATCTTAATTGTAAATTCTTTATTATTATATCTTTTAGAATCACAAAAAGTTTAAATGAATAATTTTATGGACTCAAAAGAATAGTTTCTATAAAAGTCTCAATAAAATAATGGAACTAGAAGACCTTAAACTGCTCCTAATTAATTAAAAGCTCCTAGAATACAAACTACTCCTTATAAAAGAAATACTAGTTCAGGTTAAAGATAAGAAACAGGATCTTAACCTAATTCATAATTTAAACCTATGAGATAAAGAGCATAATCTCCTAATTCTGCTTATAATTCCTAAAATCCATATATATAACGATAATTTAAAGCCAAAGCATGGAAAAAATGAAGCTCTATTTATTCTTTTTTTTGCTTATCAAATTCATTTTCCATATTTTATAATCATTTTTTTTAAATTACAAAAAATCTCTCACAACATTATATTCTTATTTCTAAAATTAAGAATTTATACTATTCAAATGAACTTTTCAAGATATTACTCTCATCAAACTAAATTTAATTCCTTCTAATCAAAACGTAAATCATAATAAAAGAATACATCATACACCCCTCTAAAATCTAGATCTGTTACCTATCATACTGATGAAGATCTATTAAAATTGATTATCAACAATAATAATTTGTTAGAAGTAGTTTAAAAACTATAAAAATAAAGATAAGTTAAACAATTAGTTTAAGAAATTTCATCTAATTCTATTTTACCTTCCATTTCCAGAGATGAAAAACAACAATAAATTTAGTATTAAAAATTAGAAACAAAAAGAAAAGATTAAATCATTCCCTATAGTTTTTAATTAAACCCAAAGAATATTGCTTATTATTAAGAGAATAAAATTTATGGCAAATTTATTGAACCAACTGAATATAAAAAAATAGATTATGAATTATTGAAAACTATGTACTTATTAATTATTGGATTTTAGAGAAATTGCTCGATCTAAATAATTTTCAAAAGATCTTGAGTAATAGATGTAATTGAATCAAATAAAAGATATTCCTTTTGATCAATATTAATCTTAGAAATTATCAAAGGATTTTTAAATTGATAACTATAAAAATAAAAATTATCATTAATAAGAAAATTTAAACACAGAAAATAATGATACAATATTACGCAGATAATCAAAAATTAATAAAATACTCTAGAATACATAGAGACTAAAATAGGAAATTTAAATATTAGATAATTAATAAAAAATTGAATTGAAATTTGAAATAAAAGACGAATTTTAAAAGTATTCAGATCTAAATTAAAATAAATTAATTTAAAATCTAAATATTGAGTAAAATAAATAAGCAAAGATGAAATCTATAAATTCACATTATAAATAGATTATAAAAAAGTGAAAAAATAGTTTGATATTAATTAATAAATTAATCATTAAATCATCTAACTGCTGCTATAATGTTTCCCTTTAGAAAAGCATTTTTCAAATTTTCTTAAGCCTTAATCATTTCAAATGGAATCATATTTAACATTCCTTTTGTTCTCCAAATTTATCTACTCATTTCTTTATTATAGGGTGTCCAAATGAATAAAAAGATGAATACTAATCCAATTATAAAAACAGAAAATTTAATTTTTTCTATTTATTGTTCGGAATCAACAAAATCTATCATACCTGAAGCATATTAATTATTTAAATAAACAATAGCTTAATCAATATAATAGACTTATTCAATATAATTTTTGATTTATGGACTATCCAAAACTTTTATATCAGTAGTAAGTGTATTACTAGCCCATAAGGCTAAGGAAGTAATTGAATTTCTTAAACCTCTATCTAATATACCTCCAGATAATACAGAACATTGATTTACATCTAAAATAAATTAATCTGTCTCAAATTATTGGAGACATAAACTTTATAAATTAAACAAATTATAGAGTGATAAATATGGATCAAATTAAGATGAAAATGTTTGTTATAATGATTCTAAACATAGTCTTTCATTTTCGTATAAAGCATCAATATATTATTCTTTAAAATTAGTAGTTTGAATGATTTATTCAATAGTAAAATAAATTGAATATTTAAGATTATAAGCTCTAATCAAACTATATTTTAGATGATCATAAATAATAACAGATTAATTGGTTAGTTATTATTCTAATATAATATTAACAATGAAATAGGCCATAAAAATCATCATCATGGTGATAAATTTAGAAGAAACTGAAAATGTATTAGATGCTTTAGAGTTTAAGAGTTTTTATTATCTCATAGCTTCCTAGTCTAAAATTTATTATTCTTCATGTTCTTATTATTATTATAACTGTTATTTATCAATATTTTTATGAGTTGGTAAAGATGACGGTAAGGGTAATTACTTAGAAGATAATGGAATATCATTTGAGGGTTAAGGTTGTTCATTATTAATTTCAACAATTACATTTGATTAATCATTTAAATCTTAATTTTTAATTTTTTTCTGTTTTTCTTATTATTTTTCTAATTCAGCTTTTGCTTGAGCTTATTCTTTAATAGTATTTTACATATTTGAAAGAAAAGTAGATTTGAATTATTCACTCCTTGTAGCTAATTCTTTGATATCTTTTTAAGTTAATAATCCAAATAAAGACATGACTTTATTATTGATATTATGAACTTTTAAAACAATTGGTATTAAAAAGATTTATGTAATAATTAATGAAGCAATAGCAAGTGATAAAACTGCATAAAAGATAGAATTATAATCTCCTATAATGAAAATAAAGAAATCATAAAAGATTTCTGAAACCTCTTAGGAGCCTTATCTAAGTAATTGATATCCATTTCTAATAATGAAGAATACATTTTTAACAGTATTTTCAGTCTACATTATAATANCTTTTATATCAGTAGTAAGTGTATTACTAGCCCATAAGGCTAAGGAAGTAATTGAATTTCTTAAACCTCTATCTAATATACCTCCAGATAATACAGAACATTGATTTACATCTAAAATAAATTAATCTGTCTCAAATTATTGGAGACATAAACTTTATAAATTAAACAAATTATAGAGTGATAAATATGGATCAAATTAAGATGAAAATGTTTGTTATAATGATTCTAAACATAGTCTTTCATTTTCGTATAAAGCATCAATATATTATTCTTTAAAATTAGTAGTTTGAATGATTTATTCAATAGTAAAATAAATTGAATATTTAAGATTATAAGCTCTAATCAAACTATATTTTAGATGATCATAAATAATAACAGATTAATTGGTTAGTTATTATTCTAATATAATATTAACAATGAAATAGGCCATAAAAATCATCATCATGGTGATAAATTTAGAAGAAACTGAAAATGTATTAGATGCTTTAGAGTTTAAGAGTTTTTATTATCTCATAGCTTCCTAGTCTAAAATTTATTATTCTTCATGTTCTTATTATTATTATAACTGTTATTTATCAATATTTTTATGAGTTGGTAAAGATGACGGTAAGGGTAATTACTTAGAAGATAATGGAATATCATTTGAGGGTTAAGGTTGTTCATTATTAATTTCAACAATTACATTTGATTAATCATTTAAATCTTAATTTTTAATTTTTTTCTGTTTTTCTTATTATTTTTCTAATTCAGCTTTTGCTTGAGCTTATTCTTTAATAGTATTTTACATATTTGAAAGAAAAGTAGATTTGAATTATTCACTCCTTGTAGCTAATTCTTTGATATCTTTTTAAGTTAATAATCCAAATAAAGACATGACTTTATTATTGATATTATGAACTTTTAAAACAATTGGTATTAAAAAGATTTATGTAATAATTAATGAAGCAATAGCAAGTGATAAAACTGCATAAAAGATAGAATTATAATCTCCTATAATGAAAATAAAGAAATCATAAAAGATTTCTGAAACCTCTTAGGAGCCTTATCTAAGTAATTGATATCCATTTCTAATAATGAAGAATACATTTTTAACAGTATTTTCAGTCTACATTATAATATAAATAAATTACACTATTAGGATTAATAAATGAGGTTAATGATGCATTTCTTATAATAGAAGCAGATGTTACTAATTAAAATATAGCATCACTTAATGTACTAGAATAATTCTACTCAATATTATCATATATATATGTAACATTTATAGCAGCATCTGAAAATACATTCTTTTTAGTCTCTATATCAATTCTAGACTTTATGAGAGAATATTGTATAGTTTTAAGTTGATTGACTTATAAACTTAACTAAAATTATTAGTATTATTATTATTTACTTTATCTCTAAAATTTTAATCATATGTAACATTTCCCTAAGCCATTAATTATAAATATCTTGTATAGAATACTACATCAGCCATTACTCCTGTTCTATAATAGGCCATAGTTATTGCTGAATGACCATTTAAAATTTCATTATTTTATTGTAATCTATATCCTAACTGAACAGATGATAATACAATTAAAATTACACTTAATAGAATGATAATTCTATTTAATAATATTATTTTTGATGCCTCCGATTTTTCCCCCATTTATATTTTAAAATCTTTAATTTATCTAATTTCTTCATTTACAGAGATACCTGATCCTCCACTTACTTCTGATTAAATTACATTTTCAATTACATCTGGTTATTCTTCTTCTTCTATTTTCTTATCTTCAATTATTTTATTTAATAATTCTTCTTATTATTCTTCTATAAATTAAATTATTTTTATTTTAGCATTTGCATATTCTGAATCTTCAACTAATAACCCTTTTACTAAAGCACTTTTATACTTTTAAATTCTAAGATTTGTCTATTTAGAATCATGTGCAATAATAGTTTTATCATTTAAAATAGATTTATCATTATTATTAACTGTTTTCTCATTTATCTAGCTATATTCCTTTCTTTCTAATAATATATTTTATTCATATGGATCTCTAGATACCCCATAAAAAGCAGATTAATCTTCTTATTATTAAAAATCTTCAAGACTTTCATCTTATACAATCTAATAATTAGTTGATAATCCTGTAGTATTAATTGTAAAATTGAAAGCTCCTTACTTTTTACATAATTCAAGTAATTCTGGTGCTATATCTATAATTGGTAAATCTAATTAACCATTAACTACACCAACAGGAATTCCAAATTTATCATTTACAGATTCACTAAACCCTAAAATAGAATGTGAGATCTCATCAAACATTAAATAAAAGAATTTATCAGTATTATCACTTTTCTTTAAGAAACCTACTATTTATAATCCATTCTTTAAATTTGGTAGAACTCTTATCATTAAAGAACATGGAACTAAAAATCCATTTTTATTTAATGCAAATACTTATCTTTCTATTCCTAATACTTTACTTTAACTTGTTTAAATAAAATTTCTAATAAAATCATCATGAACACTTGCTAATATTCTAGGCATTATTCTAGATATATTTGATCTTAATAAATCAGCTTTCTTATAACCCAATAATTTTGATATCTCATTATTACAATTTGTAATAGCACCTAAATTTTCTAAATTGACTGAACATGTAATTATACAAGTATCACTATTTTAATCATATTTGAATTTTTCACTATCAATTATCCGATTTATTTCCAAATTCTTACTTATTTAATCTGATTTATCAATGATTCTTGTTCCCTCTATATCATTATTAACTACATGAGTTAAGAAATTTCCATATATTTCTAAAGTTTTCAAATGAATATTATTTATTTTAATTAATTTATCATAAAGTTATTCTGTTTCATCTATTGATGATGTTATTAATGATCCCAATTATTATAGTTTACCTATATCAGGTGATTCTTCTTATAATTCTCTCCAATATTCTAAATGTAAATTAACTGATTTCTCTATTGCGGTTTCAAATTATATATAGTAATTTTAAAAATTTACTATTTATTAAACATCTATCTCTTAATTCTTATCTTATTCAATCATTTCCAATTCAATTTAATTCATCACTCTATATATACAAAACTCATCCTAAAATTACAATCTTTATTTTTGAGCAATAGCCAATTCATAAAATGCTTTAAATTTATTCTTTAATTTTTTTTATAATACATATGATCGAATTATTTAGATTCTTGTGGTCTGAAGTCTATCAGACGAATTCTAAATAAGGGCTTAAACAAAAGCATACCATCTAATTGTTTTATCTAAAGATTATTTATCATTTGTTTTTTCATTATCTTAATTTCTCAATGTATCTTAATGTATTAAAGAACATGGACATAGTTCTACAGATTTTAAACAATCTTTCTAATGTAATTTAACAAATCCTTCTAATTTCATTCTATTCATTGGTTTATCTCTATTTTCTATCAAGAATATCATTTCTTAAACTGTTTCTTCTAATTAGATATCTTTTTTCATATGAATCATTAATTCAGGACTTTTGTTTAATTTAAAACAACAATATACAACAATAGGTGAACATACTATTTCATAAAAGAATCCCATATCATCTACTTCTCCTTCATCTAAAAATGCATGACAAACTGAAACAAATGAAAACCAAAATAATAAGGATGTTTAACTTAATTTACTTATATTAACGCTATTTTCAATAAATTACCTTGTTTTTAATCTCATAGTTATCATCATCCCGTATAATATACATAATATGGTTATAAATGGTTTTTCAGCATTTTATTATGGATCCATAACAGCAAAAAATGGTAAATATATTTTGAATAATAATTCAATCCAATTTAACTTTGTATATTTAGAAGCATAAGGAATTGGAGTAAATGGGCTAATTTAATATTAAATACTACTTGTAATCAACTAAAAATATTTCAAAAAATATTAGACAAAACAATAGTAATACAATTCCAAAAGAAGACAAAATTACCATTATGTAATAAAGGATAGAATCACAATTCATTTCTCCATCACACTTAAATGATGTCAAAAATACACTTAAAAAAGGCATTACAAGCACAGTTACTAAAAACACCATAAGCAGGTTATATATCCTAACCGAATAAATTGTAAACATTGATTTTTCTGATATTAATACATATATAAGTAAAGCCACTGAAATAGATAAATAAAAAAATCCCTAATTTTGATAAAATCATTACGAATATAACAAATACTGAGAATAACGTAGAATCTATTGAAATTAAGTATTTCACAGGTTAAAAATATGATATGGCTTCAACAAAGTAAACAAAATAATTTGTCTTAAATAAGTATGTTTAATATACTGAATAATATAACTAAGTAGCTAATTATTTATCAGAGATACCATTTATATAAATTCAATCAGTAACAAGAATTAATAGGACAATGTAGTAAGAATCTATGTTTAATACATCATATCCATGGCTTCAAATATTTTCTATTTTATCATTCAAATTCAAAATAAAATATTATTATTTTAATAATTTCATAACTTTTATATATGTGTAGCATCATTCTAAGTTACTATTTTGACTTCTCCTTTTGGAAGTGTATATTTCACAATAGTAATAGAGCAATTTAAAGCACTATTATTATAAACCGGTTGTTTTTTATTGATCATGTAATTAATTTAATTCATAAATTCCATAATAAATCTAAAATATATATATATATTAATAGTTACCCTCCATGTGTTACAAGAAGTACTGTGATATTATTTAGTTTTAAATCGCTACATCTTTAAATAATCAATTAAAGCATCTATTATGCTCTATTGTTTACATCAATCCAAGATTCCCCTTAATCAGGTTTGAATTATCTAATATCCACTCCTTATTCTGCAGCTAATTTTTTAGGCAATGTTAAACTTTATCCCTACAAAACACCCAATTATATTTCTGATATATATACCTGCATGTTTTTCTCTTAATAAAGATTCATAATTTGGTATCATTTATTTTGCATGATGCTTTTAAATTAATTCAAAAGTTTATTTTGTTCTTGCTAAATCACTAACAAAAACTATATCAAAATTTTCCTTTTTAATTCTTTTACCTAAAGCTTCTGCTTATTTTACTCCTAAAGCAGATAGTTATCCATCATCTTATCCTTATAAAATCTATAATTTATTTCCTTCTGTTTATCCATGTCTAACCAGCCAGATTTGAATTGTTTTTTATCCAATTTATATCATTATTAATAATTTTATAAATTTCATTCTAATCGACAATATTATTTTTTATAATCTAAGAAATTTAAGATTAGTGGTTTGAATTCATCTATATCATATAATTTATTATTATAACAGTTAAAAACAACCAATTAATATACATATATATAGAGAATATATATTTAGATTAGTATTATTATACAGGATTAAAATATCATAAATTAAATTATGATTTTATTTAACAAACTTCTTTTTCATTTGTTGCTATTAAAAGATCAACTCTTTCTAAATATTCTAATTCATCTTATAACTTTTAAACTATTTATGAATGTTTTCTTTCACTTCTTTATAAGAACTTTTATAATTTTTCTTAAACATTTTCGAATGATTATGAATTCTAAGGAATTCTTGGTATAATTGGTCCTGGTTAACTTCTTAATTTATTCCAATTAATTGATTTTAAAAATGTATGTTTTTTAATTTACTCAATTGAATTATGACCTAATCTTTAATTATAATCTGGATTTAATAATTATTTTAATAGATCATAAGCATGTTCTGAAATTTAAGTTTCTGGATCATCACCAATATCTGGCCATTCAATCTTTCCTTCCAAAATATTAGAGAAAATCTTATCAACTGATTCATCATTAAATGGTGGTATTCCAACTAGAAATTCAAATAAAATATTCCTAAAGACCAATAATCTAAAGATTTATTTGAAAAAGATATCCCTTTGATTATTTCTGGTGCTATATAATCTGGTGTTCCTACAATTCTTCTTCTCTCTTCTTCAGATCCTTTTTCAAATTAACTATTTGTTGATCTTGATTTTTTAAATGATGCTCCTTTCTTTATAATATAAACAGGAGAAGATGGTAAATCTTATTTCATTATATCTCTTTAACTCACTTTTCTTTTAACCATCATTTTATTGAATCCTAATTCACTTAATCCAAAATCAGCCAATTTTATATGACCATTCTAATCTAATAAAATATTTTCTGGTTTTAAATCTCTATGCACTATATTATTATTATGTAAATATTCTAATGCAAGTAAAATTTCAGCAAAATAATGTCTTGCTATATTTTCATCAAATGCCTATTAAAATTTATTTATTTAAATACCCCTTCTATCATTAATATTTTAGCAAAATCTCCACCAAGCATAAATTCTTATACAAAACATAATGATGATTAATGTTAAAATGAATAAAAAGCTTTTACTACATATTCTCCTGTTAAAATTTCAAATATATTTCTCTCTTACTTTAATTATGATAATAATCTATCAAATGGTCTATTTGAACAATTTATAATTTTAAGAGCATATTAATCTCCTGTTACTATTCTTTTTACTTAAAATACACCTCCATATGCACCTTAACCTATTTATCTTATAAACTAAAAATCTTTTAAACAAATATTTCTCTCTTAATTTCTATTCTATGCATCTAATTTAATTATCTCTGTATCTGAAAAATATCCTTTTTCTGATGCAAAAAAACAATCTTATTCAAATTATATCTATTCACTTGATTCATATGCCTTTTATTATTAATCTAAATTCTCTATACTTAAATCTAAATCACTTTCTGAACTCGCTGTCTATGCAAAACAACTCTTTTTCTTTGTTTAAAAATTACTTAATTAATCTTATTCTCCTTCCTCAGTATTTTAAATAGAATTTGTTGATTTCTATCTTTCTAAAAATTAACTAATCTTTCCATTTTTCTTTAATTTCCCCATTATTGATACTGGAGTTTAAGGTTTTGATCTAATCTTTGGTCCTGATTAATTAGAATTCAAAGCAAAACTTTTATTTTTAATATTTTAATCTACTTTAAATTGATATAATCTGAAAATGAATTTAATTTATTTGAATCTCTTGTTTCTTTTGGACTATCTTATCTAAATTTACTTAATCTAAATGAAATACTTCCAAAATTTTACATCTTGGCTAATCAAATTATTAAATACATATATTTACATTTATAACAATAGTTTAATCTTTAATTTATCAATTTATTCATTTATTCTATTAAATCTTATATACTCTCTTCTTCTATACTTTATTATGCTGCCATTATTTCATTTTAAGTTATTAAATGATCTAAATCTACCAAGAATATATACATTTTGCATCTAACTCTTAATTTGCAACCTTCTCTCCATAACTAATTAATAATTTTAGAACTCTATATTCTTAATATACTAATCTTGTATCTTAACTTTATTAAATTCCTTCCTATTTTCTCAATCTCATTTCCTTCATACTAATTTAATAATCATTCATACAATTTTAATCCTTGTTTTAGATGAATTTAATGTTTCTTTATATATGCTTTTTCACACAAACGAGCTACCTACAGATTTAGTTAAACTTATTTTTTTCGATATTCAGCATTATTTTTACAATTTTAATTGTGTATATCCATTAAATTGATGTTTATACTTTGATTACAAATTCTGCATATGACCGAATATTCCATTTTTATTAAAATATATTTATAATTTAAAAAATTTAATCAATTTTTCTAAACTTTATTTCTGGTTTGAATTATTTACTATTATCCAAAATTATTCAAAACGATAACACTATTCCTAAATTAAGAATTATTTATATATATATTTCCTACAAATTTATGAAAAAATATCTCAAAAATCATAACATTAATTTTTAATTCTTTCACATTAATTAATATTAAATTAAAAATAAATAAGTCTGTCTTTTAAATATATACAATATTTTATCTTTTTACTCTATAATTATATTTCTAATTCCCAAAATATTCTCATTTTTAAACTAAAATCTATCTCTTTATTTTTAATTTAAAGTGTTCAAAATTATAAATGAATGTTTAAATTTTATTCTCAAGCAAACAAATACTAATTTTTTTTAGAATTAAAATTTCAGAATTTCCATTTTCTTATTTGTATTTTTAATTTATAACAGTAGGTAAATCAAAAATTCCTTATTCTTCTCTATAATATAAAAAATGATCATAGGCTTAAAAAATAAAAAGAATTTTAATTAATCTTAATTCTTTACCTTTATTTTTTTAAACTAGTGCCATTATTAAGTTGTGAGATTATTACATCAAAATCAAATTTTTTTTTGAATTATTAAGTTATTAATATTTCTATTAACTTATTTAAATCATTATTCTTAAATTTAGAAAGTTGTGCTTGAAATTTTATAAAATTAATAAAATTATCAGAACAAATATATTTTTTAATTGTTTAAATTTTTATATGAAAAATAAATAAGTAATTTTCAACTAAATTGGATAACTTTAAACTCTTATATAGGATTTTTATAATTATAGAATACAGAAGTATAATGTAATAAATTATACTTTAATTCTAAATCTGATTCTTCCATTTCGTATAATTATTATTCGGATTAAATAGGAATTATTGAGGATTCTTAGAGCTATTAACTTTTTTAGTGTTTTTTACCAAAAATACTCTTCTAACTCTTCTATCTATATTAAGAAAATTTTGAAACTTTTGTTTATTCAATACTAATAGAATAATCAACAAAAATGCTTTTTTAATTAGAAACTTATTTTATAGAATTTGAGTGCTCTTCACTAGATTCTTTTTAGCCAAAAGTTTTACAATTATTTTAAAATTAAATCTTTCCTTAACTCTCTCTTTAAATATTAGAAATAGATTAATAATGTTTTTTTTTGCTGATTTAACTTTTATTATTTTAGATATAATTTAAAGATTTTAAAGATTTTGAAGATTTAAATTTTTATTCCTATATATCCTTTTTATTCCAATCAAAAATAATATATCCATTTTTTTGATTTTCAACTAAAAATAAATGTTTTAATGATTAGTAATCAGGTTTTTATTTATGCCCCAATTATTTAACATATTTCATATATCTAAATATTATAACAAGTACTTTAATATTGCATTTGGAAGACTTTAACATAATTATTCTAAACTAATTTCTTATTTCATTTATCCAATCTTTTCGATTCTATAGATATCATCTTTATCTATATTCATCCAAGGTAGAGTTTTATTAAGAAAGAATATAAGTATATATCCTAATGATTCTAAATCATCTTTTTTATTTTATTCAACACCCAAATGAGCAGCTAAACTGGCATACCTTGTTGTTCCAATAAATGATAATTTATCTTTAGATTTTTTATTTTACTCTAAATCTTTAGCTATACCAAAATCAATTAAATATATTTTTGAAGAATTTGGTGAGCCTAAAATATTTTCTGGTTTCAAATCTCTATGAACAATATTTCTTAAATTTATATTGTGATTTATACTTTTTATGGATTTGCTCTAAAATTTCAATCATTTATATAGCTATATTGCACACACACTAATAAGAGAAATGCTTTAATTTATGAAAAAAATAGATCAAATCTTTGCCAAGCATATTTAAAATTATCATATCCATCCCTTTATAAAATCCATTCCAAAGTACTATTGGAATTTGTTCAACTCCTTCCAATTATTTCAATATTCTAACCTAAGTATTATTTAATATGAAACCTCTTTCTATAAACTATTTAAATGAGCAACTTCATTTTTTTCAACTTTTATTGCAACATCTAAATTTTTTAGTTTTGATTTTCCCAAATAAACTTTTCCAAAAGATCCTTATGATATTTGATTAATTATTTCATATTCTTCTGCTATTACATCTCCTTTTTGTAATTCTTCCATTCAAATTTAATTAATTATTAAACTAGTCAACTTATCTATATTTTGATTAGGGATAAATTTTTTTATTTTTTATAAATAAAAGTCAATATGAAATAAATTATAAAAAAGATTGAATAATCAAAAATAAATCAAGAAAATCATATCATTATTTTGATATATGTTCTTTAAAATGAACTTATATAAATCCAACTTTCTGTATTTCTTAATGAATTTGTAAATCATCAAATATTTCATCATCAAAATTTTCAAAATCATTAAATTCAAAATTTATTTGATTGATTTTTTCTTTATTTTCTTGATCATCAAAATCTCTAAATTCTCTGTTTTCAAATATTTGATCTTATAATTTTTATCCCAAAGGTTATTTTATTATTGATGATTCTCTAGAAAAAGATTATTTTGAATTTTGTCGAGATTTCTAAAAATTTAAATTTCTAATATTTCTTCTTGATATAATCGAAGGATTATAATTTAAAATAACTGAAGATTATTAAGAAGTTTGATCAATTTAATTAGTTTTATATCTTTAATTCTTTTTCAAATCTGGAAATTAGAGATAGTCACTTTATTAATTTAATATATCAATATCATTAAATGACTATTAAGCTTAATCTGAAGATTTAGTAGAACTAGTTTAATCGTCCATCCAATCATATTTTCTATCAAAACTTATATTGTTGTATTTTGCAATTTTTTTAAATAAAGATTACGAGTGTTTATAATTTGTTGTTGATCCAAATTTTAATTTGTAAACATACTCTAAATAACTTTAAATTCATTAGGCAATCCCTTACAAAAATCCGTGATTAGGATATTATATTTTACCATGGTAGATTCCCTATTTATTTTTATACATTTACCTCTAAGTAAATATATAAACACATATCCTAAATTTTCTAAATTATCTTTTCTTAATAATTCATAACCTTTATGAGCTGAAATGCTCGAATATTTTGAAGTTCCTATAAAAGGCTTATTTTCTTAGAATGAACTAAATAATATTCAATTATTAAATATGTTATTTATTTTTAAGATATTTTTTAGAATATTAATTCTTGGCCAAAAAATAATGTTTTTTTAATTAAACAATACTTGTTATTCCTCGAAGTTCTTCTATAATTTAAATTTCTCATTCTAAACTCATTAAATCTTTATTTTCTTTTTCCACTTTTATAGCAACATAATCTTTTGTTACTTTATCATGGCAAATGTAAACCACTCTAAATGAACCTAAAATTATTATTTAATTCAAACCTTAGCTTAATTTTTCTCTTTGGACAAATCTACCATAATAAATCCTTCCTTTATCCTGCTGCATTGTTTTTTATAAACAATAAAATAATTAAATTATTCTTTTTTAATTAATTTTTAGAAGATTTTAGGGCAATTTTTGTAGAAGAAATTTAAAGATTACAAAACAATATTTATTTAATTTTTTTATTTTTTATAATGACTTTTCAACATTTACAATATAAATAATATGGCTACATTATTATTTCGTTTGTTAACTATAAAATTCTCCTTTTAATTATTCTCTTAAATATACTAAAACTTTTATCAAACTGTAAAGTCTTTCAAAATATTTCTATAAAATTTTAGATATTAATTTTTTTTTCGAAACATTAAAATTTATTAAGTTTCTTAGAAATATATATATAACATAGCTTCAAAATAATATCATACTATTTTATTATTTAAGATGGGATCAATATTTTCTTTTTATTTAGTTTTTTTTAAACCATCTAATTCTGTTTTAACAACCATTAACTACTCTTAACTAATGTGATATTGTTTATTAATGGATAAGAATTTATTTTTCCAAATCTCAATTTCTTCTAAGTATTTCTTATGATTCTCTTCACATGATCTTGAAGTTTGATTCTCTAATTCAGTTAATTTTTATTTTAGAATTTTATTTAATCTTTCAACCTCCATAACTAAAGTAGCATTCTTCTTTTCTAAATCTCTAATAATTAATTTTTATTCATTTTTCATTTATTTATTACAATTACAATCTTTCTACATACTCAATTCTCTTATCATTAAGTCTTTTTGCCTAAAAACAATAGAAATAATTATTTTACTCTATTATAATTTATAATTTTTAGATCTAAGCTTTTTGCTCATTTTAGACTGATGATTTGATCATTTAAGAAAGTTAAACATCTTGTTTCTGTAATTAATCTAAATAATAAGTTTCAATAGCTTGTTTTTCTTTTATTGCACTTTATTTTTCTTCTTTTAGATTTTAACAAATCACATTTGTTTAGTTCATTTGTTATTATAATATTACTATTTATTAATTTAACTATTTAACTATTTATATTTAGCTTTCTAATTCTATTTTTAGACTTTTAATTTATTATTAATGTTCTTCTGTTGTTGAGCTTATTGATTATTTTTCTAATAATTATTTATTTTCTTAATTCAATATTTAAATTTAATTTCGATTTGACTCTATCTATTATTAAAGTTTTTCAATTTCTTATTCTTTTTCTTTTTTATAAAAAATGAATTCTTTTTAAACTACTTCAAATTTATTTTCTAATATTTAAATAAACTCATTAGCATTTTGTTACTAATTATTCTATAAAATAAGATCTCTCTATTTTGAGATTTCTTCTTAAAATCTTTTAATTTCATTTTATAAAAATCTTGTAAATTAATTATAAATTTTACTTAATTTCTTTTTCTTATTATAATTCTTTCTCATTTCTAATTTCTTTTTCAAGATTGTTCTTTTTCTAAATTTACTCTATAGCCTCTTATAAAACGATTATCTGTTATTTTTGCGTATTGTTATTATCTTATAAATAATTGTACTATTCTTCTAATCTCTACACTTATTGCTAATAGATAAGTGAATCCTTTTTCTCTATTTAAACTTTGAATTCTAAATTCTCAATAAGTTATTATTATTATTTATTTTTCAGTTTCTATTCATTCAACTCAATAAAAATTGAACTCTACTACTCTAATCTATAAAATCAAATATAAACCTTTTGTTTCCAATAATTCAGCTTCATAAACTTTCAGCTTTTATTTCTATAAATCTTTATCCAATTCTCTACTAATTTATCTAATAGGGTCTTCCATAGTTGTTACAAAAGAAATTGCTCTAGCTTAAGGAGAAGGTTTGCTATGAGTATAGAGTTTTTCTTAACTCTATCTTAGAGATCTTGAAGGTTTATACATAGTTTTTTTATCAGTTAAATTAAATATTATAAAATTTATCCATGTTTTATTTAAAAGAAAATACTGAATATAGATTTATACATTTATTCTAATAAATTTGGTAAGTTTATACCTAAGTAATGTTTATGGCGTACTTTTATTTTACATATATTATAAAATATTCTAAATTTATATAATTTATTTACGGTAAAGAATAATGCCCAAAGACTTTTCAGAATATTTGAAAGGAATGAACAAAGAGGAAACAACTAGCAATATTGATTTACAAGAATTAGAAAATGTGTTTGATCAGAAGAAATATGAAGTGAAATGGTGGTAGATTGTAATTGGAAATTCATTCACTACAACTGCTTTAGGGTAACAGATTATAATTTAATAAGATAAGAATATTGACATAGCCATTGCAAGTTATACATACTACATTTTAATTGTCAATAAAAAAGATGGATTTTTAAGTGAACAATCTAAAGGATATTATGGAATCAAAAATCACTTTAGGAGAATAAAAGAAATTAGAATAGATATTAAAAAACAAGATTATAAATTACTAAGGTGCTTCCTATTAAAACTATAATGCAGTTTTCAAAGGATTAGGAGAATAAGGAATTTTAGGATTTTTTAAAGGTTTAGGAACTGGAATAGTCTATTAGATAACAAATTCTTAGTTAAGATACTTTTTAATTTAGAAATACTTTAACGAAAAGAAGTTAATTCAAAATTTGTATGCTTCATTAGTTGGAATGGTTGTTGATGTAATCACTAATCCATTAATGCTTATATAATCAAAAATGATATATCAAAACAGATTACCAAATTTTAGAACTTATAGGTCAGTTTTTGATTTATTAAAAAAGGAGAGGAATCTTTATAAAGGCTCTTTAGGACATATTTATAAACATATTTTTATTTCTTTATCTTAAATACCTTCCATATATATAAATGATACAAGATTTTGTTTAGGATATTTATTGATGATTCAATAAGTAGTATCATATCCATTTTTAACTGTGATTAGAAGATTGCATTGTTAAGGTATTAAACCATTCATGTTAAATACAAATTACTCAGGTTTTTGGGATGGAGCAAAGTAAATATATGCACAAGAAGGGGTTTTATCATTTTACAGAGGGTTTGCTGCTTTTGGAATTGCAAATTCATTTATGGCTTTTGTATTATATTCAACGCAACTTTTGGGAGAATAATAAGAATGAAAGTATCATAATTTGAATTTTAGTGTGTAATATATGGTATTTTTATTGATGAAATATTATGTACCTTATAAATAATTTTTGAATCAATCATATACGAATATAAAATTCTTAAGCCATTTAATGCAAATATTTTATATCATTTTATAATTAAAATCAAAATACAAAAAGTGATATATTAAAAAATGAGAAAAGTACATGAAAATTGAACAGCTCTAATGAAATAGAAAATTATATTTGTTTGAGTTTATTAATCTTTCATAAAGATTAATGAAATATTTCTTTTAATGAGAATTTGAATTAATAAGTATGAAAAAATGTAGTATATGTAGAATATTTGTTAATTTTTTTCTGATTCTTAAATTAAAGTTCCTAAAGTGATTAAAAGGGTAGAGAATGATAAATTAATTACGTTAATAATATTAGACATCAAATAATTATGCACACTCAATTTGAGTTTAAAGAAACATACATTTCAATATGAAATTTGGTTATCTCATAAATAGCATTGAAGCAATCTAAAAACTAAATACTAATATCTAAAAAATTTAATTTTAGATGACTTATTAATAGGCTAAAATATCTTGAAAATATAACATTAACAGTTTTTTGATAATGACGAGGGATAAAATAATATTAGCTAAAAACTCAAATTAATTTTATATTTTGTAGTACAACCTAAGCATTTAAGTAATCATGTATAGGTGATATATATTGAAGGATAAGGTAAAGAATTATTTGAAGATCAAAAAATTAATAAATTATTTGAAAAAAGATTCAATGAAAGAGAGACATTGGAAATAATTATTATCAAAATTGAATGTGAATGAATCATTAAATTAATTGTAAATGTAACATATATGGAATGCAACTAATATTAGAAAAAATGTAATTTGTTAAGAGAATTAGATGAATTTATTTATTAGAAGAGAATTTAAATAATTTAGAATCAATGAAGAACCTGATGGTATTAAAGCATCATTGATCAGAACTTTTAAAACTTTTTTATCATAATTAAAAACAGATAAAAAACCTGTTGAAAGAGCTAGAATATACTTCTTATTAGCTTTGTTACATGCTGTTATTTTAGATAAGGATATTACTGTTGACTCAAAATTAGTTTTAACAACAAGATAGAATGTAGAAGAATTAACTTAATTTGATTTAGAAATAACATTATACCATCATAATGGAATAAATATAATATTATTACTAATGAAATATTTCAATAAAATATAAATTATTATTTATTATTTATTATTTCCATGGATTTACAAAAATTATCTGAGTATTTAAAAAAATAAACTGCTGTCCTCTAATATATCTATGATAATTCTGTCGAAATCAAAGAAATTACAAAGTTTAACTTGGGGTAAAGTAATCCCACTTACTTAGTCTCTTTAATGTAATTATTATCTTTTATATGAATAAAGAAATTCTGATAAAAAGTTAGTTCTGAGAAAGAAACCAGATGGATAATTACTTCCAGGAGTAATATATTTCTTAATTTTTTAGGCCCATATGATAGAGAGAGAATATGAAATAACCTCTAAATTATCTTCTGTCTCTTTTCCTGTTGCTAAACCACTCTGCTTTTGCAATGATTCTAACATAATTGGAACTCCATTCTATATTATGGAATATGTAGAAGGTAGAATATTCAAGGATATTCAATTAAAAGAATTAAGTAGTTAAGAAAAATAAGAAATCCTAAATGAATAAGCTAGAGTTTTAGCATTATTACATTCTATTGACATATATAAATTAAAACTAGATCATTTAGGAAAGCCCGAGAATTATTATTAACGCTAGATTTCTACATGGAGTAGATAATATAAATTAGCAGAAACTAATAATATTTAAAGTATGGAAAATCTTNCAACCTAAGCATTTAAGTAATCATGTATAGGTGATATATATTGAAGGATAAGGTAAAGAATTATTTGAAGATCAAAAAATTAATAAATTATTTGAAAAAAGATTCAATGAAAGAGAGACATTGGAAATAATTATTATCAAAATTGAATGTGAATGAATCATTAAATTAATTGTAAATGTAACATATATGGAATGCAACTAATATTAGAAAAAATGTAATTTGTTAAGAGAATTAGATGAATTTATTTATTAGAAGAGAATTTAAATAATTTAGAATCAATGAAGAACCTGATGGTATTAAAGCATCATTGATCAGAACTTTTAAAACTTTTTTATCATAATTAAAAACAGATAAAAAACCTGTTGAAAGAGCTAGAATATACTTCTTATTAGCTTTGTTACATGCTGTTATTTTAGATAAGGATATTACTGTTGACTCAAAATTAGTTTTAACAACAAGATAGAATGTAGAAGAATTAACTTAATTTGATTTAGAAATAACATTATACCATCATAATGGAATAAATATAATATTATTACTAATGAAATATTTCAATAAAATATAAATTATTATTTATTATTTATTATTTCCATGGATTTACAAAAATTATCTGAGTATTTAAAAAAATAAACTGCTGTCCTCTAATATATCTATGATAATTCTGTCGAAATCAAAGAAATTACAAAGTTTAACTTGGGGTAAAGTAATCCCACTTACTTAGTCTCTTTAATGTAATTATTATCTTTTATATGAATAAAGAAATTCTGATAAAAAGTTAGTTCTGAGAAAGAAACCAGATGGATAATTACTTCCAGGAGTAATATATTTCTTAATTTTTTAGGCCCATATGATAGAGAGAGAATATGAAATAACCTCTAAATTATCTTCTGTCTCTTTTCCTGTTGCTAAACCACTCTGCTTTTGCAATGATTCTAACATAATTGGAACTCCATTCTATATTATGGAATATGTAGAAGGTAGAATATTCAAGGATATTCAATTAAAAGAATTAAGTAGTTAAGAAAAATAAGAAATCCTAAATGAATAAGCTAGAGTTTTAGCATTATTACATTCTATTGACATATATAAATTAAAACTAGATCATTTAGGAAAGCCCGAGAATTATTATTAACGCTAGATTTCTACATGGAGTAGATAATATAAATTAGCAGAAACTAATAATATTTAAAGTATGGAAAATCTTCTATATTGGCTTCCATTAAATATTCCTGAAAAAGATGAAAATGATATAGTTTGTTTATGTCATGGAGATTATGCCTTAAATAATATGATATTCCATCCAACTAAACCATAGATCTTAGCTGTAATAGATTGGGAATTAGCTACAATAGGTTAATCGTATGCAGATATTTCTTATATGACTTAGTTCTATTTCACTAGCTAATTTGAAAGCACAGCCCATAAAGGAGGTGTTAAAGGAATCTATCAATATATTGGAATGCCAGAGTATTAAGATTTAATAAATGTTTATTTCAAATCTAGAAACATTAATAAATCTATTGATTTAAGATATTATACTGCATTTTCAATGTTTAGGTTATCATCAATAGCATAAGGAGTTTATAAAAGAGCTTTATAAGGAAATGCATCTTAAAAAGAGTAAGGATTAGAGTTACTAAAATTATGTTAATAATTATCTTATGATGCTTGGGATTTGGTTAATTAATTAACTAATGATGATCCTTTTGATTTGAAAGATTTGATTAAAAATGATATACCAAGATGGGGAAGTTGGCCTATTTCTGATAGAGCTAAACATATTTATTATAGAGTTAGAAACTTTTTAAAAACAGAATTCTTTCCTTACGAAAAATAATTAATACATGAAGCTGAATCTAGACCACCTGAAAGGAGATGGAAACCATTAGAAAAACTCCATGAAATTAAACTAAAAGCTAGAGAATTGGGTTTATGGAATTTATTTTGTACTTATCCAGTAGCAGGAAAAGGTTTAACTAATTTAGAATATAGTTTTATTTGTGAATTAATGGGAACTAGTTATTTTGCTCCTGAAGTGTTTAATTGTTCAGCACCTGATACTGGTAATATGGAATTATTGATTCTATATGCAAATAAAGAGTAAAAAATCAAATATTTATTACCATTACTAAAGGGAGAAATTAGATCATGTTTTGCTATGACAGAACCATAAGTAGCTTCATCTGATGCTACGAATATATAAACATCAATTATTAAAACTTAGGATGGATATAAAATAAATGGTAAGAAATGGTATATATCTGGTGCTGGAGATGAAAGATGCAAATTTGCTATTGTAATGGGCAAAACATCTTAAAATACTTCTAATCCTCATTAGTAATAATCCATGATAATTGTTGATTTACCTCATCCAAATGTAAAAATTACTAGACCTATGAATGTTTTCTTTTCTGATGAGGCTCCTCATGGTCATATGGAAATGATATTTGATAATGTAGAAGTACCTAAATCCAATCTTATATGGTAAGAAGGCAAAGGATTTTAAATGGCTTAGGGAAGATTAGGTGGTGGAAGATTACATCATTGTATGAGACTTATAGGAATCACTCAAAGAGTATTAGATTTAATGATGCAAAGAGGAGAAAGAAGAATTATATTCAAATAAAAAATGAAAGATGTTGGATCTTTCTAGTAAAAATTAGGAGAATTAGAAACTTAATTATCAGCATGCAGATTAGTTGTATTAAATGCAGCTATGTAAATTGATATCTTAGGTAACAAAAGTAGATACATTTTTAAAATTTTAAGTGAATGCAAAGCTTTTGTTCCTAAAGTTACATAAAATATTATAGATGAAGTTATATAAATATTTGGTGCTGAAGGAGTAAGTTAAGATTAAATTTTATCAATGGCATTCATTCAAGCTAGAACTTTAAGAATAGCAGATGGACCAGATGAAGTTCATTATAGATAAGTAGCTAGATTAGCTTATTCTTTATAATCAAAGAATGAATTGCTGTAAGCTGAAGGTTATGGCTTACCTACCTTATCTAAATTATGATAATCGTTAGAAACTGAATAATAAATAAACATAAACATCAATAAAATTCTTTTTATTATTAAATTGATTTTGACAACTCTTTACATTTTGCAATAGCAGGAATACCATTTTATTACTAACTATTTCCTTATTGTTATTAAGTATATATTCTTTATCGAACTGACGATTTTTCATACATTTACAATTTACTTATATAATTATCAGCCAATTTTTTAAGATCCTTTTAAATTACAAAACAAAATTACATTAACAACTTCTTTATAAATCTGGTTTCCATCTTTCTCCTCTAATTATTCTGTACTTAGCATCATTGATGGTTGCTTTTAAATATATTTCATATCTTATATTAATTTATCAGAAATCATCTTTTTTTATTACTGATCCTTTAATTATTATATATTCTTTAATTTACAATTTGCCTTTTAAACCTCCATATAATACAAAGATTTCGCTTCAATTAAATTAAATATCGCCATTTTTGTTTATTAATTTATATCTCTTTTATTTTCTCTTATACTCTTAGATCTTAGTAATGATCTATCAGATTTTAATTACTTCTATTCATCACTATTTATCGATATATTAGTTTCCATATCTTTACTAAGCTCATTATAAGAATAAAAAGATTCTTTTTTTAAAGAACCTTATATTTTTGTATCCAAATATTTCATTGATTCTCTTTCTGATTTTATATAAGAAAAGCTTTCTTTTTTAATATTCTTTTTTGAAAATAATAATTATTATTATTTAAGATTTGTATTTGGAGATTATGATTAATTTTATTATGATTTCAAATTAATATTAATTGTTGTATCATAATATTAAGTTAAAGGTTAATTTTAATGAATAGTTGGGCTATTTTATCTTTTATCTTTCCCTTTTATTATAATTGAACATCTCTTTTAAATTTATTTAACTTAGTAGTTATTTCTAAAAAAAGCTTGATTGTTTAATTCTTTTATTTGATATTTCTTATAGAAATGTTCATCAATATAATTAGGCTTTTCTTCTGCCTTAGTTTCTGGAATCTCATACATTTATGACATTATCTTTTATATCTCACCTTATTCTTGTAAGTAAATTTCCAATTTGTGATTATGTTACTTTATAAAATCTTTTAACAATTTAGATTATTCACCATTATACTAATTGTGCTTATTTAAATAATAAAGTAATTTTAAAAGTTCCTAATATTTTGATAATTTATCAGAATATAGATAGGAGATACAAAGTAAATAAAATATATGAAAAAGCATTATCATCTAAATTACATTTTAACTTAATTACTTATCTAATAGCATATTTTTTAACTTTTTCTTTTGATAAACTCTTTTCAATTTTATAACTAATTATTTACAAAATATTTTTTTGAATTTTCATCAAACTATTTTCAAATTCAACACTTGCTAATTCAAAACTTTTTTAATGAAATTAAATATATACTTCTAATTTTATAATAACATATTTCCCATAATTATATCAGTCCAAACTTCTCTTGATGAATATTACCAAATCTAATCGTTAAAAAAGTTAATCAAAAAATACTTTGAATTTAAATCCATTTAATTACTCTAACACCTATTTTGAAGCATTGCAATAAAAATATGATAAATGATAAGTTTCTTCTCTATAAAACTTAATACTTATATTCTAAGTATACTTAAGAAGTTCATATAAAAAAAATTATATCATTTTAATATCTAGGATAAATTAATGATGTAAATTACTTGGCTTTTTATGTTTAAATTACGATCTTATCAAATCATACCATTATTACAAAAATTACTTTGACTTGCTAATTACAATCAATGCAGTTTTTTTATAGAAGGATATATTTCTATAAAGATAACTCTCTAAGATTTTGTTTAAAGAATAAACTTATCTTCTCAAAATTTCCATTTCTTAAGATTTATTCAGTTCAAAATCACTATTTTTTACTCTCTCCAATAATTATATATTCTTCCTAAGACAACCCTAAAAGTAATAATTAAATAAGAACCTTCCTGATTAATCTTGTTGATTCTTTTAAAAAGTGTTCATTAGTCATAATATTATATAAAAATTAGAATAACTTAAGAATGTATAGAACTAAATAATCATTTAGTGAGTATGACTCATCCAATTTGAACAATTCTAAAATGATAACTCAAAAATATCAGAATCAATAATATTATAATGATAATAGTGGGAGATTAGGAATAGCTTTACCTGAATTGCAAAAATATTAAAAATAGTGCTTATAATAATCAAATCCTTCTTAACGAAGTGAATTTGAAAGAGATATGGCATGGACTAAGAAATATATTATAAAAGAACAAAAAATCCAACATAATAGAAGAATCAGATAGAAATTAGATTCAGATAATTCATTTAGCCAAAATTATAGTGTTGATGATTAAGTAAGAATGAGAAGAAAAGCTAATTTATCTTCATATATGTTTGGTGGATTTGTTCTACAGGATTATAATGAATAAGTTAACAAATTACATAAATTATTGTTAAAGAAAGTTATTCTAAATAGATGAGAAAGTGAAATATATTTGTTTTGCTGATTTCAGTTTTTAAATTTAATTCATAATCCTTAAGATTTGATGGATTAATTTTATCATTACTTGAAAATTTTTTTTTTTGGTTATAAATATTTTTATATAAAAATTGATGTAACCTTACTATGATAGAGACAGTGACGATGAATGTAAATTTAATAAAAAATATAATCTTAGTTTCTGACAGCAATTCAATTGAAGGATTAAATTATAGACCATAAACAGCTCCTCCAAGTCCCATTACAGAACTTGAAGAATTCAAAAGGTTTTCATCCATTCATATTATAGGTAACGAGAATTTTTTATATTGGAAAAAGCTTAACATTACTAAAATTTATTAATTTAAAGAGATTTTCATAAATATGATCTAGATAACCCTGAAGGTTAACGAAATTGTAAAAAGTACTTAAAAACATTAGAGGAAATGTGTATAGTATTTACATACTTAAATATTCTTTATAGATTTATTAAGTGAAAACTTTATCAAGAGATTATAGAAATATTTTTTCAAAGGCTTACAAAATTTTGTATAAAGAGGATAGATTGTGCTATCTTACTGAAATATTAGATAGTGCATAAGAAGGTTTTTTTTAAAATTAATTAATAGGTTTTCCTTACTTATGGGTCAATTCTGAGAAATTTGTTTTTTCACCAGATGTATTGTCTTAAGGATCTAAATTAATTGAACTATTTTATAAAGTTTAACATGTTATTAGACTTTCATATTCTAGAACACTTAAAGAAAGTCCGGAATTCTAATCAAAACAATTAAAATAAGATATTGCAAAGATATTGGAAGATTTTGATTAAATTTGGGTAGATTTTGAAAAAGTAAATATATAAAAAAAAATTTTAGCTTTACGTTAAAGAATTGATGGAAATTGAAGCAAAAGCAAGAAGATTTATTCTCTTGGCTATTGAGATTGATAAAGAGATGACATCAATTGAAATTAGAGAGAAATTAAGAGGAAAAATACTTGTTACTAGTGAAAACTATATATAAAAAAAAGGACAAGTAATTTTATCATTTAAAATATTAGTTTTGTAAAGTTATTGCATAAATCAATTCTGTTGCAAATGTTGAAGGTAAGGGTAGGGATGATTTAGGTATAAACATTCTTTTAGAAGCTGAAGGAATAACAAGAAGAGTAACAAAAGAACAATCAAGTGCTGTTCGTAATTTAGCTGATAGTATCAAAACAAAGTAAATTTATACTTCAAATTAGTTTCTAAAAATTTCGAGAATAAATGAGGAAATATGAAGGTAATATTGAAATGGTAGACCCATAATTGAAAAATAATTAAGAACTTGCGGATTTATTAGTGGAATATGAGTCTTAATGGGAAAAGGGACTGTATTATTTATTAAATCCTACTAAATGTTAATAATTGATGTACTTTTCACATATAATTGAAACTACTGCAGAAAAATATAAATAATTTTAAGAATAATTAGAATGCAGAGACTGTGATATATTTGTTACGATACCTTGCTTGATAGCTTTAAAATATTTGGAAAATGAAGATAGAAATATTTGTACTTATTTCTTGCCTACACTAAAAGAGGAAACTTCGAAATTATTTTAATAATATGCTTAATTAAAAAATGAATTTTTAGAATGGAGAAACTTACATATCAAATAATATGAATACTATAATATTCTTGAAAAATAACTATTAGGTATACCTTTAAATGAAAAGGAACAAATTGCTCTATAAAATTTTAAATTAAATAATATAATGTAAAAAATTCGATAAATGTCTATTGAATTATAAAGATACAATGCAATAGAATGGAATTACTTCATTGATGCAGCTATCAACAATAATTGAAAATTTTTAAATTTATATATTTAATTATATTAAGTACAAACACTTTCTTATTTTTACCATTTTAACTCTAAACTATGAAAAAATAGATTTTAAAATACCTTAACAAAAAATTAATTATAATTTAAAGTTTTGGCTTTTAAATAAATTTTATTTTTAAATTTAATTATAACAAATAAATTTATTCATGATTTAAATTCCAAATGCTAAGTATCACTAATCACAAATAAAATTTGCTGAAAGCTAGATCACAAATCTAGATAAAAATATCATAAAAGTCTTACAACTATTCTCAATTATTGGATAGTTGGAAATGGATATAGAAAATATTAGTAATATTTAAAATTAAAGAAAGGACTTGAATTATCAGAAAACTCTCATTTTTATCCTGAAGCCTTATTTTAATATTTAAAGTTATATCTGTAACCAATAAAACAAGAATCTTTAAATGAATATTCATAATTTTTTAATTTTACTGTACATATGAAATGATAAATAGGACCTATAAAATTAAGCTCCTTTAGTAATAAACATTATAAATAGTGCTAAAGATGGAATTATTAAATTTGAAAATATTATAGCATTTTGTAAAGATAATTATTAAATTTCTCCTAATTTGGAGAGTTTGAAGGCAATAGAAAGAATATTTCATATAAATTAATTTGGCTTTTAAAAAGATAATATTTTAGACACATTTAATGATGAATATCCTTTGCCTTAAGATATAATTCCTATTTCATAAATTCCAATTAATTAAATTTAAGGTACATCTAAAGTACCATTATAAAAAAAAGAAAGTATTTAAAAAGTGAATTCTGGAGAAGGATTTAATTATACTACATTTATAAAAATGTTACTTTCTAAATCTATACCTTAAGCAAGTTAAAAGGCATCCAAAAGGAAATTAATATATGAAACTAGTTAAAGTTAGAATATAGATAAAATAATTTTGAATTTGTTTTTTAATCTTCTTTAAAATGAAATAGCATTGATTGAAAAATCTGAATAAATTCGATTATCATTAAATACAGATCATTCATATAATCATGTTGCTATGTTTAATATTTTTGATGCATAAGGAAATGGTGACATTGAATATCGATTTATTGAATAATTGATGAATAAAGCATAAATTCCATTCAAACCATTTCATTTTAAATCTTTAATAAGAAGAGCAAATATTTTAGCTAAAAATACATAAATATCTGAATCTTTGAATTTTGAAGGTTATCGATTAATAGCTACGGTCTAATGTCCTTATTTCAAGATACCAAAGTAAAATGATGAAGAAATTTAACCCTAAAATTAATATTCAAGAATATTAGGAACAGAAATTAATGGATAAAGCTCTTCTTAATTATCTATTTCTAGAATTCCTGATAAAATTCGAAATAATTCTTAAAATTTTAGATCAACCCCTGCAGTACCTTCATATCACAGTAGCAGTCCATATGTAAATGAGACCTTAAAAAAGTAAAGTAAAATAGAAAATAATAATTAGAATTAGTCAGATGCAATATATTAAGATAATGTATGAATTATTATTTTATTTAGATTGTTTATGGAACAAAAAGGGAATGGGATTAATTATAACATTCATTATAGAATAATAATTTAATAGAATCTAAATCTTTGAGATCATAAATTTTAAGAATTTAAACTCCTGATATTTAAATGAATAATTTTAAATCAAATAGTCGAAATAATACTCCAAGAGAAAATAAGAGTTAAATCTAAATAATTTAATAATAAGCCTTAGTAGAAAATGTAGACATAAAAAGGGATATAGAATTATCTAAATAATTATAATATGCTATGGGAGCAAATACAAAAGGATTATATTCAAATAATGTTAAAATAGAAAGAGATAACAAAATTAAGGAAGATCTTCATTCATTTTATAATCAAGCACCATGGTATCAAAATGATAATAAAATATCGAAAAATATTAATATAATTAAATTATAGCAAGAATAAATTTAGAAAGCTTCAGGACTAAAACAATATATTAATCATTAAAATTAATAATTAAATGTTTAGAATATTAATTAATAAAATGATATAGACAATTTTAATTAATAACCAAATTCTGATTAGCAATAACAGTTATCAAGAATTTAATCTAATTAAAATCAATCAAATATTCAATAATTAAATAAATTATCACCAGTATCCCCAAGAATTTTTTCTACTCAAAAATTTAACCCTTTAATTGGTAATGATAACTAATAAATCATCATGGATTATAATCATGATATTCCAAAGAGGATATTTGATCAATAAAATTGATTATATATTATGTAATTATTATATTAATTCAAGATTGATTTGATAATCATATATAATATACCTTTTAGAGATTATATTGATCTTGATCTTGATATTAATTATTTTTTAATTAATTTTTTAGCGAAAAATAATGGTATTATATTGAATAATAAATTAGGATAATGAAGATGAATTAGAAAAACAAGCAAGATTAATGGCAGAGAAATATAAAGATGGACCTAAAAAGAAGGGAGCTTTGGTGAAGAAAACTTAAGAAGTATCTCTTTTAAATAAATTATTTTAGAGAACTTAATTTGATTCAGCAACACATGAAATGTAAAAATAGGCTTAATAACATCCTCCTAAATGATAATTTGATTATTATTAAAATATAATCTAATAAAATAACTCACTTATTGTTTAAGTTTGTCTCATCTACAAGAATCCAAAAAATTTTTCTTATTTATAGCTATCTTAATGTTCTTTTCAGTTAAATTGTTTGATTATTACTTTAATAAGTAAATGCTTATTAAATATGATATTTTAATTGATTAGATATTATATATAGATATTCAAAATCAGTTATTATTAATAGGATAAGACAAAGCATAAAAATAAATTAAAAATAGTATTTATGAAAGCCAAAATTTTTTTAGGAGAATATGCTTATTTATATAGAGGAAATATTGATTTAAGAGAATTGAATGAATATATCAAGACTTTAACAAGCAAAGCATTTTTAATTAAATGGAAGGATCATGAAAATGATTTAATCACAATATCAAAAAAGTCAGATTTAGAATATTTTTATAAATAATGGGCTCAAAATTTGACTATTAGTAATTAATCATTTCGATTATATGTTTTCGAAATGCCTCATATGATATAAAATGCTTAAATTGGATAATTTTAATCATCAACTCAAATTTATTCTAAAATGCTGAGTCCTTCTTAGAAATAATCATGTATCAAGTTTTAATAGGGAATTAATTAGTTTACATTTGGATTTTAAAAATATGAAACAACTAAAAGTTAAGAATATCAGAAAGAGCAACCCTCATAACCAATAAATCTACAGTCTATATAAGAAGTTTCAGGTTCATCCAAAAATATTAGTAATTAAAATTTAGATAAAACACAAAACATTAGTCAATAAACAAATCAAGATATTAAAAAATAGAGACTTGCAATAGATTTTAATGATATTTAGGGTTATGATTTATCCACCTAAATAAATATGGATATGAAACAAAGTATAAATGCAAAAGATTATATTGAAATTAAAAAGCCAAATGATGATGATTATGATGATGATAACAATGATAATGATGATGAATTCAATAATGAAAATAATTTTATTGATGCCAATAATCTTTATTGTGATTATTGTTCTGATAAAATACAAAAAATTGACCAATTTACAGCAATTTATGCTTGTCTAGTTTGTGAAGATTTTCAGGTGTGTAAAATTTGTTTCGATTAATATTTAGAATAAGTGCATATGCATAAATTATAAGAATAATTTCTTCAATGATAAATTTTGTGATTTTGTTATAAAATCCATTTAATATTTATAAAATCATCTATTTGACCAAGGGGAAATCAAAGAAACATCATTTTTTGAATTATTTTAGCTTCTTAATTCTAATTTTTATTCAAAAAACATTTTTGTTTTATCAAAGTTCAAACTTTATAGATTAAGTTTTGGAACACTCTTTGCTGATCGAGCAGTTGATACTCTTGATTTTTCATAGCTTTTTAAAGGTCTTTGATACTACAACTAATTTGATAATGAAACAGTAATTATAGAAGGTATATGAATAGTTTGTTTTGGACTTAAAAATGTATAATTAGATTTATTAGAGATTTTTCTTGGAGTGAAACATATTTTCTTTTATCTTTATTATAAATATTGTTTGGCTTTTAAGATAATATCTGAATCCAATTTCGAAGGAGGCTTAAAATTTGGAAATAGCTTTTCATATTAAGATTTCATAAATATTAATATATATATTTTCAAATGACTGTGTATCATCTCAAAACCTTTTTTAGCATTATATTTTTAACTTTTTTTGTTAAAAGTCTGTTATATTGTAATAAATTTACATATTTAATGAATTAATTGATGGACAGTATTTAAGATTTAGAAAGCTTGATGTATAATTATATACTAATATCAAAGTGGTCATGATTTTAATGCTATCTGTTTTAATAAATAATTGATAAACATCGATTTTTCAGGTTTTGATACATTAAATAAAGAATGCTAATTAGAGTTTATAGGATAAAGATTCAATATATGGAGACTTTTTTTTAAGTAATTAAGAATGAATAGCTTAGATATTCAAAAAAAAGATTCATTTTCTTAAAAAATAAAAAAGCTAACTAATTTCAGGGAAATTTATAAAGAATTTGAAAATAAGTATTTGACAACTTTCAATAAAACAACTCAATTTAAAACTGAAGAATTAACTAAAAAGGGACCATTAGGAGGTCTTCTTGGAGGTCAATTAGAAGGCGGAAAATAAAAACAATAGAATTCAAATGCAATTCATAATAAATAAGAGATGAAATGGTATGAATGAGATTGCAGCTTCATTAATATTTATTTTTATTAAGAATTATACAAAGAAAAAGTAGAAAAATAAGAAGAAGTAATATACAATAAAATTATTAGGCATCTGAAGAGGAGAATTAATATTTTATAATTTAATTTTTGGAAATTTGCTGAACTTGATATTTATACTTTATTTACTGCCTTAATGAATGATGCTAACCATATAGAAATTAATATATAGACGTACTAGAGTATTTTTTGTAGATTGTATAGCTATTGCCATGATAATTAACTTAAAAAATTAATGTAAGATAATAAAAATAGTAATTTAGTAATGGGATACTCATTTCTTTAAGAAGATAGTGGAATTATAAGAAAAATGGCAGGTTTATTTTAAAAATGGTGAACAATAATTATATTAATTAAATATTTGTTAAAGTTTGAACCAACTATTTTGATTTTTCATAATAAAAAATATGTTTGTGTTGTTATATTAGCAATTCAAAATTGAATAATATTGAGAGTATGCCTCGAATTTCAATATATAGAAAATCATTTAAATGAAATAAATGCATTATTTTGAGAATAGAGAATACTAAATTGGTTGATATATAATAATTCAAATCATTTTTTTAGTAAAATCCTCATTTTGCTCAGATCGCTTTACAGTTCTTCTTAGTTTATACATTAAGTAAATTCTCCTATTTATAAAATAATTAGAAACCATTTTTTTTTAATAATTCTTCTAAGAAAGTATTTTTTTTCAACCATGGTTCATAGACCTATTATATACTTGTTTCTTCAAAAGAGGTTTTTTTAATAGAAGAATGTACATATTCTGGATCTTAATCAGATTAATCNTAATTGATAAACATCGATTTTTCAGGTTTTGATACATTAAATAAAGAATGCTAATTAGAGTTTATAGGATAAAGATTCAATATATGGAGACTTTTTTTTAAGTAATTAAGAATGAATAGCTTAGATATTCAAAAAAAAGATTCATTTTCTTAAAAAATAAAAAAGCTAACTAATTTCAGGGAAATTTATAAAGAATTTGAAAATAAGTATTTGACAACTTTCAATAAAACAACTCAATTTAAAACTGAAGAATTAACTAAAAAGGGACCATTAGGAGGTCTTCTTGGAGGTCAATTAGAAGGCGGAAAATAAAAACAATAGAATTCAAATGCAATTCATAATAAATAAGAGATGAAATGGTATGAATGAGATTGCAGCTTCATTAATATTTATTTTTATTAAGAATTATACAAAGAAAAAGTAGAAAAATAAGAAGAAGTAATATACAATAAAATTATTAGGCATCTGAAGAGGAGAATTAATATTTTATAATTTAATTTTTGGAAATTTGCTGAACTTGATATTTATACTTTATTTACTGCCTTAATGAATGATGCTAACCATATAGAAATTAATATATAGACGTACTAGAGTATTTTTTGTAGATTGTATAGCTATTGCCATGATAATTAACTTAAAAAATTAATGTAAGATAATAAAAATAGTAATTTAGTAATGGGATACTCATTTCTTTAAGAAGATAGTGGAATTATAAGAAAAATGGCAGGTTTATTTTAAAAATGGTGAACAATAATTATATTAATTAAATATTTGTTAAAGTTTGAACCAACTATTTTGATTTTTCATAATAAAAAATATGTTTGTGTTGTTATATTAGCAATTCAAAATTGAATAATATTGAGAGTATGCCTCGAATTTCAATATATAGAAAATCATTTAAATGAAATAAATGCATTATTTTGAGAATAGAGAATACTAAATTGGTTGATATATAATAATTCAAATCATTTTTTTAGTAAAATCCTCATTTTGCTCAGATCGCTTTACAGTTCTTCTTAGTTTATACATTAAGTAAATTCTCCTATTTATAAAATAATTAGAAACCATTTTTTTTTAATAATTCTTCTAAGAAAGTATTTTTTTTCAACCATGGTTCATAGACCTATTATATACTTGTTTCTTCAAAAGAGGTTTTTTTAATAGAAGAATGTACATATTCTGGATCTTAATCAGATTAATCTGCTTAATCTTAATTTATGAATGATTTAGTAAGCTGTGACGATTTTTTCTTTTTATCTTTCTCAATCCTACACCAGGGACATTTATATTTGAAACTTTTATGTTGTAATTATGATTCTATGTCAGATACTTCACAATCAATGTGCGTCTAATAATATCTTGATAATTATTATACCCATTTTCCACAACGTTGATTGTCGCATTAAACCCACTTTTTACCATCAAGGAAATTTTATTCATCATCTTTATACACTTAAGCACAAAAGTAGCAACACTTTCTTCTCTTATAAAGTTCATAGCAAGTATGGCATAATAAGATTGTTGAATCAGAAAATTTGGCTACTTATAAATCAAAAGAACTGGGGCAGTATTAATTGAAACATTATCTAACAGGCGGATACTCACCACTTGTTGACATTATTTCAATTTTTTTATAATATTTATTATTTACTACTCCCATATATATTATTTATTCGTAAACAAATTATAATCTTTTTGAGTATAAAAAAACCAATAAAAAACATATTTATTCTGTTTCTATGAATAAAAATATTTCTAATTAATGAATGTTAATTTGTAATCTCAACTTTTTTATTATAATTATTAAAAATTGAAAATACATACAAACTAAGCCTACTGCATTAAATGCAACAATGACTATAAATTTTACAGGTTAATTATCAAACTAAGATAGAGTTTTTTAATTTTTCATTAAAACCTCATACCTATCTGAATCTGAAAGCTTTTCAATATTAAAGAATTTTTTTATTGCATAGTAACGACCATTTGCTTAAAATACTATTCTAATAAGCAAAGCTAATGCCTAATTTATAAATTTAATACTAAAGTTAAGATGATAAATATGCTTAAGTGACAGCTATATTACTCTATTTAAGGGCTTATTATAATTTAACTCTATTTAGATAATAAATTTCAGACTCCTCATCATTCATACTTATAACCATCACAATTTATTTTTGTTTGCATCTTACATCTTGAAATATTCAATCGTCGTTATTGTGACTATGAATAAAAATATTCAGAAAGAAATTACAGATGAATTTTATCTCAGTGATATACTTCCAAATATTACTCATGTTTGAAAATGCTGTTTTATTAAGGATATCGAACAAAATTGAATTTTGAAACTATAATCATCAAAATATTTTTATACTCCTCACTTATATATTGGAGCAAGAAATCCTAATTCAGATGCAATAGGCAATATAAAACTCATAAAAATAATTATTATAATCATTCTGAAGTTTTATTCAAAACAATTTTTGGCAGAATTATTGGAGGAACCCCTAAATAGATAGAAATAATAATATACTTATTTAAGTTGGCATATAAACATCTTGTGATAGGGTTTTATCAGAAGAAAACATTTTTTTTGTTATGGAACCTAGAGTACTTTTAGGTTTATTATCGGATTCAGTTACAAGTAATTTATTCATAGATTTGAGTGGTGGCAATTTGATTTAAGTTTAATTATTCTTAGAGACACTATTAGTTCTTTAAGAATTAAATTATTAGTTTAATTATGATTTAGTAATTGCTAAAAGTTGTTTTTTGCCATAGTAATATTTTAAAGATTACAAATTACTAGGATCATTAATAATATTTCTTGAAATATTTTATGAGACAATATTATCTTTGATATATATTTATTTAGCTTACCATGTTTCTAATATTGATTTTAAATTGATCTATTCAGTTGATCGACTCTTCTTGTTCTTGCTTTTATTGGGTAAAGTTTCATTAATTGAGACAAGTTACGAGGGTTCATCATATTAAATATTTGAAATCAATTTAGGATTTTATGATAAATAGATTTTCTAGTTTTTTTTAAATACTTAAATGATTGTTAACAATTCATTAAAGTCTTATTTATTCTTTTTCGGACTTCTAAAAGTAGATGAAACATTTATCATTTAATTTATTATAATAAAATCTTGAATGAAAAAAGTGTTAACGCTGGTATTATCAATTTTAATATAAATAGGATGGAGCAAACTTATAATTAAATGATTTGAAGGAGATCTTAAAGGGAGATTTAGATATTGTAGTTGAAATATAGGATCATGTTAAAAACGTATTGGTTTGAGTGATAAATTAGCATATACTATAATCTAGAAATACAGTAGATATGATAGTGTAAAAGAAAATACCAATATATGGGATAAGTACAGGATTTGGTAAATTTAAAGAAGTATTTAAAATATATATAACGAGATTTATATTCCTCACTAAGAGATNTTTAATACTAAAGTTAAGATGATAAATATGCTTAAGTGACAGCTATATTACTCTATTTAAGGGCTTATTATAATTTAACTCTATTTAGATAATAAATTTCAGACTCCTCATCATTCATACTTATAACCATCACAATTTATTTTTGTTTGCATCTTACATCTTGAAATATTCAATCGTCGTTATTGTGACTATGAATAAAAATATTCAGAAAGAAATTACAGATGAATTTTATCTCAGTGATATACTTCCAAATATTACTCATGTTTGAAAATGCTGTTTTATTAAGGATATCGAACAAAATTGAATTTTGAAACTATAATCATCAAAATATTTTTATACTCCTCACTTATATATTGGAGCAAGAAATCCTAATTCAGATGCAATAGGCAATATAAAACTCATAAAAATAATTATTATAATCATTCTGAAGTTTTATTCAAAACAATTTTTGGCAGAATTATTGGAGGAACCCCTAAATAGATAGAAATAATAATATACTTATTTAAGTTGGCATATAAACATCTTGTGATAGGGTTTTATCAGAAGAAAACATTTTTTTTGTTATGGAACCTAGAGTACTTTTAGGTTTATTATCGGATTCAGTTACAAGTAATTTATTCATAGATTTGAGTGGTGGCAATTTGATTTAAGTTTAATTATTCTTAGAGACACTATTAGTTCTTTAAGAATTAAATTATTAGTTTAATTATGATTTAGTAATTGCTAAAAGTTGTTTTTTGCCATAGTAATATTTTAAAGATTACAAATTACTAGGATCATTAATAATATTTCTTGAAATATTTTATGAGACAATATTATCTTTGATATATATTTATTTAGCTTACCATGTTTCTAATATTGATTTTAAATTGATCTATTCAGTTGATCGACTCTTCTTGTTCTTGCTTTTATTGGGTAAAGTTTCATTAATTGAGACAAGTTACGAGGGTTCATCATATTAAATATTTGAAATCAATTTAGGATTTTATGATAAATAGATTTTCTAGTTTTTTTTAAATACTTAAATGATTGTTAACAATTCATTAAAGTCTTATTTATTCTTTTTCGGACTTCTAAAAGTAGATGAAACATTTATCATTTAATTTATTATAATAAAATCTTGAATGAAAAAAGTGTTAACGCTGGTATTATCAATTTTAATATAAATAGGATGGAGCAAACTTATAATTAAATGATTTGAAGGAGATCTTAAAGGGAGATTTAGATATTGTAGTTGAAATATAGGATCATGTTAAAAACGTATTGGTTTGAGTGATAAATTAGCATATACTATAATCTAGAAATACAGTAGATATGATAGTGTAAAAGAAAATACCAATATATGGGATAAGTACAGGATTTGGTAAATTTAAAGAAGTATTTAAAATATATATAACGAGATTTATATTCCTCACTAAGAGATGGTTGATTTATAAAAGAACTTAATTATATCTCATGCTTCATGTGTAGGTGAACCATTAAAACCAAACATAGTATTGGTAATGATGATTTTGAGGTTAAATTGTTTGATTAGAGGATTTTCTGGTGTAAGGATGTGTCTTATAGAATCTTTACAATAAGCAATAAATAAGAAATTAATTCCAAAAGTACCTTGTTAAGGTTCAGTGGGAGCATCTGGAGATTTGGCACCTTTATCACATTTAGCATTAGGATTGATGGGAATAGGAGAGATTTGGATAGATGGATAATATATAGATGCAGATTAAGCATTAAAAATAAATGATTTTGAACCATTAGAATATATGGAGAAAGAGGGATTAGCTATGAATAATGGAACTTAAATGATGGCAGCAATAAATTTAGAAACTTTAATGAGATCATAATATGTTATGGATGCTGCAGATTTAGCTCTAGGATTGACAAGTTATGCTTTATAAAGTAATACTTATTAATTAATAAATATATAGCTAATTACAATTTCTTAAAATGTCATAAAGGAAATAGTAATAAAACTTTAAATATATTGTCCAGTTTAATTGGAGAAACATGTTAAGAGTAAATTAAAACTAATCCTAAGAGTATACAAACTGCTTTTACTACCCATTAAATAATTAGGCAATCAATAGAAGAGAATCTGAAAATTTTAGAAAGAGAAATAAATTCAACCAGTGATAATCCTATTATTGATAATGAACGTTAATCAGCTAGATCAGGTGGTAATTTTCATGGTGAATATATGGGAATGTTGGCTGATAATATGTGTATAGCTTTATAAAGACTTTGTATATTTAGTGAAGTATTTATATTATCTTTATTCTCATTTAGAGAAGATAAGAAAGATTAGTAAATTCAGAAGTTGGAGATTGTGGATTACCTATGTTTTTAACATCTAAAGGAGGATTACTTAATGGATATATGATTCCTCAATATACTAGTGCTGCTTTAGTATCTGAAAATAAAGTACTCACTCATCCAAGTTGTATTGATACTGTTCCTACTTCTGCTAATATTGAAGATCATGTTTCTATGGGAGCTTATAGTGCTAGAAAAGCAATGTAAGTTGTTTCAAATGCTGAATACATTATTGCTATCGAATTAATGTGTGCTGCATAAGGATTAGAATTTGCTAAAATTTAACTACCACCTAAAATTTCAAGTTGTCTCAAATTTATTAGAAATATTATTCCCGATGTTAAAACTCAAGTAAATTATATTTATATATATACCCTAGGATATTTTTATGAATCAATACATTGAATTAATGGCTCACAATCTAAGACATGGTTAAATTAATCAATTAATGCAAGAATTATAATTATTATGAATATGCATCTATTAATAAAATCATCCTTACATCCATCTTCTTGATCTTCTAATCTTTTATTATGACCATTTCTTATTTATTAATTAGTATTTAAGCTAATTAATTCAATAATTCAATAATTCAATAATCCAAAAGTACAACCAAAGAATAAGTATCTATTTTTATTAGTTCTAAATTACAATTATAAATTTAAGTAGAAAATAAAAATAATATCTATAAAAAAATAATTAATTACACTAAAAAATATTATCTAAACTCCAATTCTTAAATCCTTAAGAAAAAAACTGTTTAGATAACTTTTTTAAATTTTGCATTACTTCAGGTAAAAGCAAATTAAGAATGTCTATTTTAGAATTTTTGGACAGCCTAAGAATAGATAAAACTGAACTATAAAATTTTCTTCAATAAAAATGTTCTAATCTGCTTATTTAATTAAGAAACAATATTAAAAATGCCTTCAATTATTAAAACAACATATTTTTTGATTTTTATAATTAAAATTAGATGATAAAAAAATAAATTATCATTAGGACACATAATTTCTTAAGGAGAAATAAAATAGGTTTATAAATTATCCTTTAATATAGTTCAAATGAATTACAAATGATATTCTAGGTAAGATGATTATTTATCTTATTTTTTATGTATTATTTATGATGGATGATATTTTAGAAGAGAAATATAAAAATTCTATCTTAAATATTTGATTATGGCAGAGTATTATAGTGATAATAAGATTTATTGTAGAATGTATTTACTCAAATATTGGAAATCAATAAAGTCTTTTTAAGAATGTTTTATTTAAAATTTACTTGGTGGATATGATTTTAGAATTGCTTTTTGTCTGGGTCATTAATATTTATTTGTAAAAACTATGGTTATCTATAATAATTTAGTTATTACCTCTCTATCATTGGAGCATATAATAAAATCAAAGACTTATATTAGGCCAAATAAATTTAAAACTTGTTTATGGCTATAATTCAATTGAAAATAATATTAAAGGCCAAGAATGCCAGGTTTAGACATATGTTTAAATTTAACATTATAATAAATATTAACTCAAAATTCAAAAAGTAAGAATACACCAATTTAGAATTGAAATTAATGTCCACTTAATTTAATTATGTTTATAGATTTTTGAGATAATAATCCTGAATAAATATAATGAGTTAATAAAAATTTAGAAGTATTTAAAATGATTAAAATGAACTTGCTATTACAATTTAGACTGAGAAGATTTTTTAAGGATTTTGTCTGATTTATGTTTAATAATTAGAAGAAACTAATGTTATTTAAACAATGTACAATTAGAATTGATTAGAATAATAAATCACCAGAGTTTATATTATGAAGCTATATCATTGATAACAGCCTCCAAGATTGATTATTAATTATACTGATTTGTTATTAGTATTAGATTTATAAATTTTAGAATTTTCCTTCAAATTTATATTCTTCACTGAGATATTCTTGATCTCATTTTTAGATAGATTTATTATTATTACTGATATTTAGTATTTGTCAGTGTTAGATAAGAGTATTTCAACAATACTTAAAAGGGTGTAGTGATAATTATAATCAAAATATTAATTACCATGTTTCAATCAATAATAAATTATTTATAAACATGGGAGGATGTCCTTCTAAATGTGAAATTAAATGTGGAAATGGATAACGATAAGAAGGAAGTACACTCGAGTTAAACTTTGAGCAACAACCTTAAATACTAAGAAATAAGGATCGAAATCGATCAGCATCCAGTTCTCATTAAGGAGAATCTGCTACTTTACCTGCTACTAATTTTAAAAGGGAATTGGAATATAAAGATAATATTTTACATACTCAATCAGATCCAAAAAATGAATTATTTGTTAGCAATATTGAAGTGGAGTTACTTCCAATTTTTGTAACCAAGAAATAAATTAATGAATCAACTGTTTAATATAGAGAAAACAGATTTATAATTGATTTAGAAATAGAAGTCAGAGCTAGAATTCTAGAAATGTATATATCATAATAAATCCAATTAGAAATCAACAAGAATAAGAAGAACGATAAAGATTAATCATTAAAGAAATTGTTAAGCAATAATTAGAATTTGAATAAAGGAAATCAGAATTAATATCTAACTCTTAAACTAATTAATAATAAGAAAATTCGTAAAACTTTAATTAAATATAATAATAATAATAATCAACCAAAAAGAATACTTCAAAGGAATCAAAAGATTCTTAATTTGCATCCATTTAATCTAGTTCATTTTAGCAATCATCTGAAAAATAATCCAATATTCAATCATCACATATTAAAACAGACCCTTTAAAGTATTCAACAAAAAATCCATATTAAATTAAAGCATTGGAGAAAATAATGAGTAATTATTATTTAGAAGATAACAGCTCTTATAGCAAACATAAAGGAATTCTTAAATAACGAAATCAACTTTAATATCCTCATACTTCTAAAAGTCTACCTAATAAAAGATTGGCTAAGTCCAAACTATTTAAGAAGAAAAGAGTTCATTTTTCTTAAGACACTAATTTTAATTTTGAAAAAAAAGGGGAAGAAAAGAAAGCCTCAAAAACTTGGTGGAAATCTATATTTTGATTCCTTTCTTAATATATTTATTAATTATTATATTAATTCCATTTTTAAGTACATACAATCTATAATATGAAAATAGAATATTAATATGTTATTCTTAATATTATGTAATATATAAAAGATATCAAAATATCTAAAATATAATAATAATAATAACAATAGGTTAAATATAAATATCAATCTTTTGCAGCTCTGTAAATTTTATTACATGCATCTTCAAGTAAACCTAACAAATTCTCCTAACTTTCTTCTCTTAATTTCTTTTCTTCTTCAATTTCACTCTTTACTCTTGAAACCAAATCTTTAAGCATCTCAAAAATTGCTGCTTCTGATTCCTCTCTAATAATAATTTAATAAAAAAATACCTCAACTTCTTTTAATTAGCCAATCCTTCATTTAATCTCTTAATTTCATCTCCTGCTCTTCTCAAAGTACCATTATCACTATCTTCTCTATCTTAACCTTCTGTCTTTACCAAATCATAAAGTTTTGGTAAATCATTTTCTAATGAAGTTGTTATATTTTCAATTTATTCTTGTCTAATTTTACTTTCTGTTTAAATATCTGATTTTAAATAAACAACCTAATACTATTAAGGATTATTACTTTTTCATCTAAATAACCTTATAATTTTAGATTTCCATCTTTTCTTATTGAAATTTCTTATTCTAATTTAGTCGTTATACGACTTTCAAAAGCAGCAATTTCTCTCACTCTTTATTCAAACTATGCTTCAAAAACATTGTTTTCTTCTTCTATTTATTTTTATAATCTCACAATTTCATCTTTTAGGGAATGCTAAAATGATATGAAATTTATACCAATTTTCTGTTATAGGATGTAATAGTATCTTGAATTCTTTCTTCAACACCAGATACTCGGCCACAAATAACATCAATACGATGAGCTTTGGAACTATCATGGTGTAATTAAATGGAGCTGAGTTTTTCAGAAATTTTAGCAAATCGTTCGTTGAATGGTGTATTTGGATTCATTTTATTTATTTTATTAACAAAATTTATTTGTATTATTATGAATAAATAACAGTATAATTACCATTATAGTTTTAAATTTATCATAGTAGGTGATTCTGGAGTTGGAAAAAGTTGTTTACTCTAATAATTCACTGAAGGTTAATTTAAAAACAATATTGATTCAACAGTTGGAATAGGATTTGGATAGAAGGATGTAATTTATAAGGATAGTGTGATTAGAGTAAATATATGGGATACTGTAAACTTCTTAATATTATTTAGGCAGGTTAAGA